GTCTGTGTTTCCCCTCAGCCTTCAAGTAGGATGTCACTTTTTTTCTCTCTACTCTGTAGCAACTCCTCCAACCAGCCCCTCACTCCTCCCAGTGCCAGACACTCCCAGACACTCCCAGGCTGGCGTTCTCCTTCTGTCCACATCACCTACGTCCTGTGTTGTAACTGTAGAAAATGCCAGGCTAACTCATCTGAGCCCCTGTTAATCAGAAAGTAACCTCTAATTTGTGTTCTCTTCTGATGTTCTCGTTGCAGGAGTCTGTTTGGAAGCAAATGTTTTTTTAATGGACTTGCATCTCCTCACCTTGATCAGGATTAAAGGACGGAGGCCGCTCCACCCCTCCCCCTTCCTCCAAACCCCTAACCCCCTCCAGACACCCAGGGAATGCCCTCTGCCCTACAGGACTGAAGACTGCCTGGCAGCCCTCCCAATCCCACAACTCCTGTTTGCCAGGGAAAAGAACCTAAAGACTTTGTGTGATTGGGAGGGGGGGCAGACAGGAAGAAAACATGTCCAGGCCCCTGGTTTCCATAGAGAATGGTGCTTTGTTCAAGGAAACATGAGTTTCTGATTTTCCAGGAGCAGTTCATCGGTGAGGTTGATGGGAAGACTTCCTTCTCAAAGAAAACGAACCCTTCATTTGGGATCTAGGAGAGTGACTGGGTGTGCCAAAATATGCCCAGGGTCCTGCCCTCAGCACTAGGTTTGATGGGGCCAAGAGGGTCCAGACCCCGTGCTAACATACCACTTCTTTGTTCAACTCCTGTACCTTCCCAGTCCTTTGAGGAGGGACCATGAGAACAGAAAATTTCCTTATGAAAAGCTTCTCTTATTCTTGCTTTTCCTTCTTACATATTTGACAGTTTATTTCCCAAACCTCCCAGAGGGTTACACCCTTCCAGCTCCCTGCTGCCCGCCCTCCCTGCGGACTTGCCCTCCTAAGCAGGGAAGGCCTGTGAGGCTGCTCTCTGCTGGGGCCCCGCGGAGCCAGGCACCACCCTCCACCCTCTGCTGCTTCTTGCTCAGGTGCCTCTGGCAGTGACCAGCTCTGCTAGACGTTCCCTTTCCCCGGGGCTTTGCCATTTCACATGAGGAGCCCTTCCCCCAAGAAGGCTGCTTCCTTGTTTTAGAGGAAGGTACTGCCATTGGGAGGGTGGGGGCGGTGGGCCTCAGCAGTGACGAGCCCTTGTGAAGTCCCACGAGTGGGGAAGGAGGCCAGGTGAGCAGGATACAACCAATTTCCATAGGCTTTTCTTTTTTCAGGTGTGATGTAAGCGTGGGCTTGCATGCCCCAGGTACTAGTTTTACTTACTGTGGGACAACCTGGCACTAGTAGACAGGTAAAAGTCACAAATTTGGTGTCTTTCCACCTTTTGACTGTTGACTTCATAGCTCCCCGTGCTCTGCCTGGAGGCACTTTCTTCCTCTGATAAGGAGCAGGGAGGAAGTGGAGCCTGGCTTGAAGGAGCTCAGCGCTCTAAGGACCGCCACTCTGGGGGCTGTTTTCACACGGGCATATGGAATTGCTTTTCCTATGACATCTAAATTGTGATGTTCTTGTTGCTGAGGGGAGACGCGGCGACAGGGTCCTGCGGCACCTGTGGGGCGATGGATGCTATTCATGCACGCATGTACAGGGCACGTGACATCTAACACGAGAAGAGACGTGGCATGTGAGATGTAGGGCCATTGGAGACCCTTCTGGCTCAGAGGGGAGACTTGAGTTGGACGGAACCCTTCCTCATCCCTGCACGTTTCTGACACAGCCCTCGGTCAGTCACTGAGGGAGTCCCCCCAGGGTTGGAGAGGCACATTCCCGTGGGACAGAGGCTACAGGTCTGTAGCTCCTTCTTTCCCCTGTCCCAGATCCCATCCCCACCTCCACTTCAGAACATGGCACCCCACACAGCTGGCCAAGTGTTAAGTGATGCGCTTATCCGCGAGAGCAGCTCCGGGTGTCTTTTTAAAATGTAGAGAAAACCAAGTAAGGTGACAGTGTAAGGAAGAGGAATATATAGAATACCAGGAGAGCCGTTTACCCGGAGAATTTTTTTCTCCCCATTTTTGTTTTGTTTTTACTCAATGACACAATTTTTAGTTTTATTTCCTGATAGCAAAAGGAAAAAAAAAACCCAACCCTCAAAAAGGCCACGGCCCCGTCCCCCTGTTGTCGGTGATTTGTTTGTCTTTCTGATAGGTTGAAAATTGTGTAATAAACTTGATGACGCTGTCAATCTTTTATACTGCATTGTATTTTTTTCCTTTTGTAACAAAGTATTTTTAAATAATAAATGGGGTGTGAGCTGTTTTATGGATTCTGCATTGAATAGATTTGTCGAGGTGTCTGGGGCGTGGGCACGGGCTGATGGACGCAGAGGCTGCGGGATGGCAGTGCAGCCCCGAGTCCTCAGCTGCAGTTGCGTGTGGGGTGTGGAGTGCCTGTGGCACACCTCGTAGGAGGCCCCTAGTGCAAGCCTGTGGAAGTGCCCCTTGAGGGTTAGATTTTTTCCTTAGCCACCTGAACAGTCTGGTTCAAGAGAAATTCCAAGTCATCCTTTACCAAGATCCCTAAGATTTATTCTCATCACAAATGTCCTGCCCTACCCAATTCAGTCCTGATGTCACCAACTTCAGGAAGGGAGGAATCTGCTAGGAGTGAGAGGTATGCCTGCTAGTGGCTGCTTCCGCCTGTTGATCTGAACGTGGACAAGCAGTGGAACCGATCTCTGCATAAAGTCTAGAAACCTGCTTTTTATGCCCCGAATGACTTATATAGATTCAAGTGTGAGGACTGCTAGTTCATAGAAGTACCACCGCAGAAGGACCTTGGTGGTAAAGAGACTGACCTTTGGGACACCTCTAGGTTCAAATCCCAGCTCTGAACTATGTAGGCTGAATGCCTTTGGACACACCAGTCGGTTACCATCTGATTGGATTTCCTGCTGCCTCAGGATCTGTGTGTCTGCCAGGCACTGGGTGAACGTTAAGTCTCCTACAGTTGCTGCCATAAAGCCAGAAACCTGAACCCATGTGTCCTAAGTGCTTCCTGAATGGGATCAGACCTCCGCCCCTAGAAACGACCATGCAGTCACCTGACACTTCCAACCATGAGTGTGAATATCTGAGCAGGCCTCGTGTGCCAGGGCCTGCTCCTCTCGGTCCGCTCTGCTGTCTCAGAATTCTGGTGCACGCAGCTCTGTATGGACCCTGGAGTGGCTTCCCATGGCACGCAGCGATGACAGCCTCTCACCATCCTGTACCCCAGGAGACTAGCTGTGCTGATTCTTGTCCTCTGCTGCCTCGGTTTCTCGTGTGTGATGTTCTACTCCAATGCGACCAACTGCATCCACACAGGTGACTCCAACAGCCATCAGGAAGAATGAACATTTACGGAGCCACCCACAGGCAACTGCACTACACTTCCAGACAACCTTGGAGTACATGGGGGGACTTCTGGTATACCCATTTTCTCATTTTCAACCATTCCTTCTCACCCTCAAGAGGTACCTGTTGAGGAATGACATTTACTTAATCCAGACTGAAATTTGTACGACAAGATTTCTAGTTCCAGCCCTGGCTGGTGTGGCTCAGTGGATTGAGTGCTGGCCTGCAAACCAAAGGGTCGCTGGTTTAATTCCCAGCCTATAGACATTCCTGGGTTGTGGGCCAGGTCCCCAGTAGGGGGCATGTGAGGGGCAACCACACATTGATGTTCCTCTCCTCCCACCCCCTCTCTAAAAATAAAATCTTACCAAAAAAGACTGGAAAGAAATAATATACTTTAAAAAAAATTTCTAGTTCTAGCTGCTAATAACCAGTTGTGTGATACGTGGCTAGGTTACTTCTTCACCTCTAAGCCTGCCAAGTGACAGGTTCAAAACTGATTTCTAAAGTCCCTTTCATTTATAAGCCACCTCTAAATTTCCACCTGAGCCTTCCATTCACTTCTCTGTGTTGCTGGGAGGGTGACCTTAACCACTGAACCTCTAATTGACCAGGGAGGCCATGGAGAATGGGTGCCTCTCCAGCTAAATGTCAGCAATTTCGTCAAAGCAGGGCTATGGAAAACAGCAGTGCGAGAAGCAACAGAAAATCAGGGTAGTCGTGGGGTTTGTGACGAAAACGTCAGGAATGTTCCTACTGGCCTTTTTGATAGTTTCATGGTTGACTACACCTGTCTACTATGGTTTTTGGACAGACCCCAGGGACAGTTAGGAGGCAAGGGCACAGAAGGGATAGAAAACAGGAAAAAGCATCAGTGAATTGGACAGTGGAGACCTTCATAGGGTGAGACTGAGCCTGGTCACGGGAAGTAAGCAGAGTTAAAGATCATGGAATGCTTAAAGGCCAATTACTTTTTACTTTGTGTAAGTGCAGATATTCTAGGATTCATCTGACAGAAGGGCCCTTGAAACAAGGTTTCCTAAAGCAGTGGATTCTGTTACGGCTCCTGGTGGCTTGGGGCCAAAAATATAAATAAAAAATTGGCCACCACCAAGCAAGATGAGAAAGTTTTAAAAATGATTACTTGGAGAAGGGAATAATCTATCCATCTAAGGCAATATTTCTCCAGTTTTAAAAAAAATGTGTTCATGTTAATCTGAAGTTTTAAAATACATGACAAAAAATATCAGTAAGTTTAGAATATGCTTTGTCCAACAACTCACGCCTCCCCCTGGAGACGAGGGGACAACTATCTGGGAGAGGAACTTGTGGCAGAGGGGAGGCATGTAAGCGGCCGTTTGCAGGACGACAGACCTGAAGAAGACCCAGAAGCGGGCAGAGCCTTTGGGGAAGAACTCAGGCTGGGACTGGGGGGGCGGAAACCGGTGGCGCGGCCACATGGCTGTCTCTGGGTCCGCAGCGGGTCCCCAAGCGCAGCCTGAGAACACAGTGCTGGGCCGGTCTGCCTTCTCTCAGAGGGGGTGGATTTCTAGGGGCAGGTGCCGTAAGGAAAAGGCTGCACAACAGAAAATACGTATTTATTATAAAATAGCGTGTGTTTCATGATGAGAATAGAAAAATAACATTATCAGCTAATAAAAAAGTTCTGGAGCTCCGTCGTGGAAGAGTAAGCACAAGAGGCTTTTGCGTCACTTGGAGTACGCCATCCCGTGGCTCTCCACGCTCGTGTGCGACAGGTGTGGCACAGCACGTACAGGGACAGGGAGTGTGGCTCAGATCCTGCCGGAAGCCCAAGGAGCCCACATGGTCCACACATGATGCTCTGGCCATGAGGATCGAAGGGGAGACCGAGGGCAGCAGGGAGCTGGTTCTGAGGGTGGCCAGGACGGGGACAGCGGGCCCCTCCCCATACTGGAGTGCAGAAGAGTCTCTCGGGCCGACGGTCCTGTTCAGAAGACGGTGCCCAGCGGCCTTATGCTCGGATTGTTGCCCAAATGTCTGTGCGGAGGAAAAGCCGCAACTCTCCCTGGGACCACCTGACCCGTCATTCCTCACTGGTGTGGCTGGAGTACTGGAAGTCTGTGCGGGCTCAGCCCCTGAGGGCTGCTGGCTGAAACTTCTGTACTTCAAATCCTGTCCATACTGATGGCAGAAGGAAAGGAAAGGAAAGAGGAAAGGAAAGAGGAAAGGAAAGGAAAGGAAAGGAAAGGAAAGGAAAGGAAAGGAAAGGAAAGGGAAGGGAAGGGAAGGGAAGGGGAAGGGGGAAAGGAAGGAAAGGAAAGGGGGAAAGAAAGGAAAGGGGGAAAGGGAAGAAGGAAGGAAGGAAAAGAAAGGAAAGAGAGAAAGGGGAAGGGGAAGGGAAAAGAAAGAAAAAGAAAATGTTAAAAGACCAGTGAACAAGGGCAGCTGGCCTGAACCGCTCTACATTCCAAGCCTCCTGGCCCGAAAGAACAAGGGGAGTCCCTTCCGTAAGTGAAGTGGGTGCCTGGCCACCCTAAACGAGAAAGGCAGTTCCACAGACACCCTTTCCCCCTTAGAAAGTCCACCAGACCCTTCAGGCTTCTGAAGAACAGTGAATCCTTCCCTAGCCGGGGATGGGAACCCGACCCCAGGGGACGGGAAAGGGTCCCTCAGCAGCAGTACCTGGAGAAAGCGGCCAGGGTTAACACCTCAAGCAGCAGCTCTGAACCACAGAAGAGGAGCAAGATGCCGTTCATGATGGCTTCCAGGCGGAGCACGTAGGTCTGCAGCAGCATGTAATAGGAGGCCATCACGGCAGACGGGAAGGTCAAGGCCACGCTAATAGCAAGTGGCATCTTTCGCTGGCAGAGGTTTCCCTTTGTACCTGTCAGACACAGCCCACGGAGTCACCTCCAAATGGTCTGCTTCCCCTGGCCTCAGAGGAAAGGCTTTGGGGGAGTTTAGGGTTGCAGTCATTCACTCCGAATGTCCTGCTTCCAGCCTGGCTCCTATTCAAGCAATGCTGGGATTGTGACTGGGGAGAAATTTTTTTTTTCAATTATAAAAATAACATAGAACCAATGAAAACCTTTCAAATAATATTATACAGAAAATAAGTTGACAGACTATAGAAACTGAAAGACCCATGCTCACTCCCCGAAGATAGCTATTATTACATGTATACTATTTCAGGTTTTTTAATGTGTGGATATTCCCATATCACTATTATTATAAAAACTGGACCATACTCTTAATACTGTTTTGCAACTTATTTTTTTCCCATAAGTTAGACATCTCTCCACAGATAACTACCTTATTCTTTTTTACTAGCTATAAACGGTTTCACTGAACCAATACCGTAGCCTATTCATTTAACCCTGTACTCACAGGTTCTCCGGTTCCGATGTAACCAAATATGTGGCACCAAACCTTCTCCCAGATATCTTTGCCTATCTGTGGGAGTGGTTTTTTTTTTAACCACTTTTTGAAGTGAAATTGTTAGGTCTAAGAATACAAATTTTACATGGTAAAACTATTAGCAAAAAGGATGTATTGCCCTGGCCAGTGCGGCTCAGGTGGTTGGAGCATTGTCCCATAAACTGGAAGGTCGTGGGTTCAATTCTCAGTTGACACATACCAAGGTTGTGGATTTGGTCAGGGCGCATGTGGAAGGCAACTAATTGATCTCACATTGATGTTTCTCTCCCTCCCTTCCCCTCTCCCTAAAATCAATAAACGCATCCTCCCATGAGGATTAAAAACAAAAGGATGTACTAATTTATATCCCCAAAGAATATGAGAATATAAATACCCATGAGAATGTGGGACTATGGGACCTGTTCCTCACACCTATTCTCATACTGGATACTGGGAATCTTTTTAATATGATGGGTGAAAATGTTCTCCTGTCATTTCAACTTTTTATTAGTGAGTGTGACATTTTGTTATGTTTATTGGTTCTGTCATCATTCTTATGTGAATTGCCTATTAGTGTCCTTTCCCAATTTTTAAAATTCGGTTGTCTTTTCCTGAGTGATTTATGTGAGCCTGCTTTATCCTTTGTTATATGTCTTTCAAGAATTTTTTTTCCTCAGTTTGCGTTTTAACACTGTTTTCGGAGATGAGATATTCTAACTTGTGAGAGAGGTGCCCTGAATTTCTGAGGATATTCTTTAGCACAGCTTGCCCTAAAGACAGCCTTGCTCAGAGAAGTGGAGGGGAACTTGGTGCTGACCTGTGCAGGCACATCCTGTCCTGGAGGTGGAGTTACACCTGAACCTATTCTCCCAAGCAGACCAGTGAGAGGAACCGGGCACTTTTATAGCAGTTAGGCAACTGGGAAGAGATTATCTGATAATTTCATGCTACCGCCCACATCTGGCTCACAGAGCAACGGACAGGTGGATCTTGACCCCAAATATACAGCAGTTTGGAACTTCAGAAAGGGAGGAATGGGATACGCCACCAGATCCAATCTCTTACTGTGAGCCCGGGTTATGTGCCTTTCCTTGTCAATCAGGTTACAGACACCAGCTCCTCTCATAGGGAATGGAAATATTCTCCAAACAACACTCACCAAAAAACAGCCGGATCACTTCAATCCCAAGGTAAAGGAGGAGCATCACCACATCGAGTGCTAGGTTGGCTGTTGGATATGGTAGCAGGAGACCTGCCAATACAAAAGCCCAAGTTTGCAAACAACATATGACAGCACCCTCAAGGACGCCCACACACTTGGGAACAAAGAAGACAGGAGTCTTATCAGCTTTCCACGAGCTGGTTAGTGAGATGTGGGCAGGATCTGCTAACCTGCACCAGAATGTTAACTCACAGTGCGCTATGTGTGTTAGGGGCAGGCTCATTATTATGGGGTTTTACTCCCAACTCCAAAAGTCCGTGGGGACTCCACGGTCCAACAGAATCAGATGTACAGGGGCACACAGGCTGCCAAATGGTTCTGAGGATCACTAGTGGGCTTAGAGTTCACGAAGAGAGGTGATGGGGGGGGCGGTAGTCAGAATTGAGAAGCCTACACTCCCAAACTCGAGAAATTCTTGCCGAGGGGCTTTCTAACGAAGACTTCTCAAGGAAGCCACTCACTACCTTGCGGTGAAGAGGAGCTGCAGGGACGAAGTGGGCTGAAGTGGGGAAGGGACCTGGGGGCAAGGGCAGTCAGGCCCCGTGCCTTACCTTTATACAGAAATATGAAGAGTTCCAGCAGGAAGTAGGTAGCATAATACCACCCGTTCAGAAAGAACAGGATTTCCAGGGGGGTGGAGGACAACCGCTTCCCTGAAAAGAGGAGCACAGAGACGAGGGATGGGCGGGAGGGCAGCTCAATCTCTTTGGTCTGCGTCTGACTTGCAGAAAACACGAGGGGGTCGCGGCCAGGAGGAAGGGCCGTTCGGGGCACTTCTGGTTGCCGGTAACGAGGGGACGGGGAGCTGTGTGAGTATAGGATGCGGAGGGGGCTTCATTCAATCCCGTTCTTCCCCCGGGATCACGGTCAAACTCGACTCTTTGGGCGTCGGAGGTGAAAAGCCCCTCTCAGATCTAACCACGTCGGTATTTGGGAGGGAAAATCGGGGCGCAGAGTTTTCCCCTCTGGCTTCCTCGAGCTCACACAGCAAGCAAATTCGTCATTGTGCCGGCCTAGAATAGGCTCAGCCAAGGATTGGGGGGTACTGGAAAGATCCTCACCTCGAGACCCTTAGGTACTCGGGGTGGGTGATGCTGCGAACCCCCTCCGCCGCTTTGGACAAGTGAGGAGCGACGACCCTAACACCTGAGAGTTGAGGGTTTAGGATGAGCTCTGGGCGAAGGGAGAAGGGGGACTGAAGGGATCAGGAAGCGACTCACACACCTCCAGAATCTCACCTCGCGGCGCCATCTTCAGTCCCCATGGAAACTGCGTACGCGGTGCTGCCACTCCCGGAGCAAGGAGGCTCTGCCGGAAGCGGAGGACAGAGCGGCCCCGGCTTCTGGCCCCTCTGCCCGCCCGCGGCACTCTATGGTGAGAGTGACCGGGGCGGTCTCCGTGCAGTCGGGGAGTGTGAGAGGATCGCGGGCCACAAATGGCCTTCGCTTGGGATTTCGGCTTACAGAGACTTGGGGAGAACCATGGTCGTCCACGGGATCTTTGTCCACTGGACCCGGGGCAGGGGTAGCTCTTGCCCCCCGCCCCCTCCCCCCGCAGGTTACAGTGCTTTAGCGGAAGTGGCCGGTTGTAACACCGTGACCACAGGTCGGCACGTAGGCCCTAGCCCCAACTATTCTCTTTTCTGAAAACGGTCTGAAAATGAGAAACTGTGCGCGATGGTGGTCTTTCTGCAAATGCGGGATGGGGTTAGGGGTCCTTTGTCTAGCAGACAATCTCTGGGGGGCGGGGGGGGGGGGCGCGTCGAATTTTTGTACCAGGTAATTAGAAGAAGCCAAAATGAATCAGAACTAGAGGGTGCTTTTCAAAGAGCACAAATCAAAAGACGTAAAGATGAAACGTGATTAACACGTGACCCTGATAAACATGCTGGAGTAATTGAGAGGACAAAGTACTTGTGGCGGGAATTGAGAGATTTTTCCATGAGACGGCCTGTAAACTGGGTTTTGAAGCCTGAATACGATTTCGAGCAGCACAGAAGTGTTACTGTCCGCAGGGGAGTAGAAAGAAAAAGGCTTTTAAGTGGACTCGGGCTGACTTGGCAGTTGGCCCGTTGTGAGTTGGGACAGGACGGGAAACAGAGGGCCCTCTCAAACCAGGTAATTTGAGCAGAGTGACTAACCTCCAAGGACAGTGCTGTGTACGCCTAGCTAGTTGGGGTGGAAGTGGGGCAGTAATTGTTACAGTACTTGGGGGGGTTGGGTGGAAAAGGAGCAGAAGTAATTCCCTGAACCTGGAGAGAGTGTCCCCAGGAGTGTCACTCGTAAGTGTCTTCTCATCTGGGGGAAGGGCGAGAATGTCACTTTTAAGAAGGATAGATATATCTTGAGAGTAGGAATTTAACTACTAGGGAAGTTCACATACGTGGAGAACGGTGCATATGGAAGCTGAGTAGGGAAAAAGACGGACTCTATTATCTAGTTTTTGGCTTTTAGGTCCACATTACCCTTCACTACCTGTTCTGTGATAACTGGTCTCTTTAGCATCTCTCCCTTACAGTGAGCATGATGGCAAGCTCTGTCCAGTAGAGGGCACTGGAGGGACACAGAAGGAAGGAAAGGGCTTTTCTTCCCAGCTCCAGTGAGCTCTGGTTTGCTGTTCCTTCCTTGCTTCTGCACCATGACCTGTCTGCAGTGCAAGTGCATGGGGACGTCAGGTGGTGCTCTGCTCCAGCTGCACACCAAGAGCAGGTACTCCCTGGGCAGCCTCGATTACTGGTCCAGGCCCAGCGACCACCTTGCTGTGGGTCTTCCTGTCAAGGATACTGCATACTTCAGGCTTTGCACCTGTGCAATGCAACTTCCTAACTCTACACCTGCCGCCTCAGCCTTGTTTTCTTATCCCTTGGACATTTTTTTTTCCCAAAGCCCTCCAGCCATGGACGCCAGTGTACCCACAGCAGTGCCCCAGCTCCCACCCTCAGCTCATCAACCTCGGCGTTCTCCCCAGAGGGTCAATCTCCATGATCTTCCATGCCCTGTGGGGACATCACACAATCCAGTCCTCATGCACAGAGAGCTCCAACTCTTTTGATGTACCTGCCCACTAGTCTTGGCTCACCTGTGCAGAGGTGGGTTTCCTGGGATCCTCCCAATGTGGAGAGTGTGTGCTCTGGACCAGGTGCCTGCATCTGGTGTCCCTCTGCTCCCCGAACACCTGCCCACCAGTCTCAATCTGCCTGCATCCTGGAGGGTTATGTCTTGTCCCGCAACTGCCTGGCCTGGGAAAACTGGTGAACTTGTCCGCCACCTATCCGGCTGCAGTGAGGTCTGAGCCCCAGCCTTTAGGGTGGGGGACCCTGCCAAATTTGTCCCTCCTCAGGTACTCACACATCAGCTCTGAAGTACCTTTTTGGAGTTCTTTTTACATTTTGTAGTTCCTCTCTTGTAATTATTTTAATGATTCTTTATATTAAACTTACCACGTTTAAATTAGTGTGTGGTTTCTGTCTCCTGGTTGGACCTAGACTAAACCACCTGTCTTATTGTTACTTGCTTCTAACTCAGTTCCATTGTCAAAGAACACACTTTTTATCATTTTTAATTAATTTAAATTCTTCTAAATTTATTGAAAATTGTTTTATGGCCCAGCATATGGTGCATATATATATATATATATAGGTCAATCCTCTGTGAACTTGAAAAAATTTGCGTTCTGCATTTATCTCTATAAATAAATTAATAGGAAAAAATTAAAATAGTCTTATATAAACCCAGATACTATTTCTGATGTGCTCCATTCATTTGTGAGGATCTAAGTTTTCGTCTGTTATCATTTGTCTTTCAGCAGAAGCTAAAGAACTCCTTTAGCATTTCTTTTTTTAAAAAAGTTTTATTTATTTATTTTTAGACAGAGGGGAAGGGAGGGAGAAAAAAAGGGAGAGAAACATCAATGTGTGGTTGCTTCTTGCATACCCCCTGCTGGGGACCTGGCCTATAACCCAGGCATGTGACCTGACAGGGAATCGAACTGGTGACCCTTTGGTTCGCAGCCCGACACTCAGTCCACTGAGCCACACCAGCCAGAACTCCTTTAGCATTTCTTGTAGTGCCAGATTGTTGGCAACTAATACTTGCTTTTCTTTCATCTGAAAATGTCTTTATTTCAACTGCATTCTTGGAAGTATATTGTTTGGTGACTATAGAGTTCTGAGTTGACCTTTTTCTTTCAGCACTTTAGAGACATTTCACTCCCTCCTGGACCCTGATTAGTAGTGAGAAGTCAGCTGCTCTGTTATGTGGTGTGTTGTTTTTCTCTTGCTGCTTTCAAGATTTGCTATTCATCTTTAACTTTCAATAATTTGACTGTGATGTGCCTAGGTGTGGCCTTTCTATTTTTTTTTTTCTATCAAGGTGGGTTTGGGAGTATCTTAAATCTACAAATTTACATCTTTCATCAAGTTTAGGAAATTTGGCTATTTTAAAAAAAATTTTGTATGCTCTATTCCTTCTCTTTGCACTCTAGGACGCCAGCGACATGTACGTTAGACTGCGTGATATTATTAACCAGTGGTGAGGCTTTTTTATTTCTTTAATCTTTTTCCCCCTGTTCTTCAGCTTGGGAAATTTCTGTTGCTCTATCTTCTAGTTCATTGACTCATTCTGTTACCTCCTCTTGTGCTGTTAAATGCATCCATTTAAAAATGTTCAGTTACTGTAATTTTTATTTCTGTGATTTCTGTCTTTCCAAAGTCATTTCTTTATATGCTGAGGTTGCCTGTCTTTGTATTCACTGAGAACATATTTCATTGCTGCTTTAATATCCTATCTGTTAATTTCAGTATCTGGATCATCTCAGTCTTAGTGTCAGTTTTGAACATGGAGACTCTGGTTTCTATCGTCTCCAAAGAGTGATAGTCCTTTCATTTTATCAGGTAAGTAGCTTGGTTGGGGACACGCTGCAAACCACACTTACTGGGTGGCGGCAACAATCTCAGTTTAGACTTTTTCTTTAGCTGGGCTGCCTTGAGTCTGAATTGCACACGTGTGGTCTGCAGCTTGGGCAGAGATGTGCACAGACAGAATTCGGGGATTCCTCTTCTCTCCGGTTCTTTCCCCTCCGAGATCTCCATCTTCCTCGCCAGCGGCTGTAATTGCACTCTGGTACTGTGATTTTCCAGCAGCATATGCCACATACCACTTTGCCTGCCACCAACTCACAGGTAGCAGAAATAGGGAACTTTTTCTGCGTAATTCTCTTCTTGTGAGTGTGAACTTCCCATCAAACTTTTGCTTCATTTCACTCTCCAGTGTCTTCAAGTAGCTGTTTGTATTTTGTGTTTGTTTGTTTGTTTTTGGATGATGTCCAGATTTTACAGTTGTTATTTGTGGAAGGCTCATTCCCACAGGATCTTATTCAGCCATTAGAAGTTCATAGGTTACTTTATCTATTTCCTCCACATTTCCCTCTATTTCTTTTTTTTAAGATTGTATTTATTTATTTTTAGAGAGGGAAGGGAGGGAGAAAGAGAGAGACAGAGAAACATCAATGTGCGGTTGCTGGGGGCCATGGCCTGCAACCCAAGCATGTGCCCTGACTAGGAATCAAACCTGCGATGCTTTGGTTCACAGCCCGTGGTCAATCCACTGAGTTATGCCAGCCAGGGCTCCCTCTATTTCTTGAGCGTATGAATCATACTTTAACTTCTCATCTGCTTTATCTAATATTTGCATTACCTATTTCTTTTTCTGCTTTTATTCTGGTTTTAAGTAACATGGTCCTATCTTTTGACTCGCTAGTGATTTTTTACTGGATCCAGAAATTGTGTATAAAAAACTGTAGTGTCTCTAGATGTTTTCTCCACTCTTTCCTGTGCTAGGGAGACAGAATGGGTAGACGCCTTGATCCACCCCTTTGGGGTCTATATGGTTTGAGGCTGCACTGTGATTTCGATAAGCCTCCATCAACCTGTTTCATCTTGTTCCCAGTTAAAAGAGCCCTCCTGAGCTTTCAGCTGAAAGCCCTGTGTGTTCACCAGTCCCCACCCCCTGCCCAAAATTCTATCCTGCTTCTCAGAGGTTTGAAGCTTAGCTTTTTATAGCCTCTGTCCCTAAACAGCTTTGGACTTAGGTAAACAACTGGAGGAGAAACTGCGTTAAGTGTTTAAGACTCCTCTGGTCCCCAGCTTCGTCCCTCCATCCGTCTGGGATCCTTACACTCCGCTGCCCTCCCTGTTTCCTGGCTGCAGTCCTCTGTCTGGGCAATGCTTGGGTTCCGAGCCTCTTGTTCGAGCCCGGAATCAGCCAGTCCCCCTGGGGTAAAATCTGCTGCAAAGTGTCAGCTCACCTGGCTATATGCTTCTCCCTACTTTAGAGTTTTAGACCTTCCAATCTGCTTTACTTCAGCAATTCTCTGAGGCCTTTTTAAAAGTTGGTATTTATATTTTATCTGTTTTTTTCCAGTTCCTGACAAGAGCATTATCAACCAGAAACAACTCCATCCTACTAAAAGTCTCTCAGTGCTTTTTAAAGTGTTTACTTTCTTTCTCTGAACTTTGAAAGCTGACTGTCCCCAAGAAATCAATTTACATCCTATCTTAACAACATATTCCTACTGCTAAGTGAAAAAAACCCCAACTATTTTATGACATATTCCCCGCAATTACAACTGTGTGTAAAATATATATGCATACCGTTGTCCCTTGGCATCTGCTGAGGATTGGTTCAGGACTCCTGCAGGTACCACACTCCAAGGATGCTCAAGTCCCTTATAAGAAATGGCAATGGCACAGCACTGTGCATGCCTGTAACCTGTGCACATGCCCCCGTACACAGTGGAACCTCGATCCTCGAACTCAATGCATTCCAGAAAACGGTTGGAGAAGTGATTTGTTCACAAACAGAATCTCCTCTGTCGCCTGCAGGACACGTGACTGTTCATACAGGTGTCAGCACGAGAGGGCTGTTGAGGAGAGAACTGAGAACCGGAGTTTTGTAGGACCACCAAGGCCTTTTTCCCCATAGACTGCTTGGTCCAGAACTGCTTGGTTCCAGAACCAAGGCTTTCAAGAACTGAGGTTTGACTGTGCTTGGTATCATTTCTAGATTACTTAGGTATAATACCTAATGCAATGCAAGTGCTATGTAAACAGTTGATATACCGTATCGTGAAGGGAATAATGACAAGGAAAAGAGTCTGTACCTGTTCGGTCCAGACAACCATGTCAGCCTCACCACATAGCACACATCAGCAACAGTGGGTCTTTTTTCTGAATATTTTCCATCTGCGGGTTTTGAACCTGTGGATGCGGAACCCATGGATATGGAGGACTGACTGTATTCGAGGATCTGAAATGAATGAGTGGGGTAGGGTTATGGCAATTTTTTTTGGTAAAAATGTTTCCGAAATATTACTTCTGTAAGAAGTATGTAAGTAAATGTGGATTGTGGAGGAGAGGAGGGAGAAGAAACTCAGTGGTTGAGATATAGCAGTGGGAAAATTAACTGCATAAGTCTTTTTACAACTTGGATTTTGTGCAACGTAGACCTGTTAACTACTAAGAAAAATATGCACATGTATATACACACACAAATATCTCAGAGACTCACAGGGCCACAAAGAGCCCCAAGCACTGTGAGGAGACAGGTATTGGGCTGTCCTCACCAGCTGCGAAACAGCAGAGAACCATCCAGCCCTGGTTTATCTGGAGGCACAGAAAACAGCCTTCCAGGGATATTAGTGAGCAAAGGGGATTAGAATACTCCTGCAAGAGCCTTTATGAAAAGACTCAAAATCGGGCTATTGATTGTCTTTCTTTTTTTTTTTTTAACAGATGAAGGGATAGTAGGTAGATGGTGGCTCTGTTAGGACTTTATAGATCATTTGTTCTGATTATAGGATATGGATTTTAGACATTTTATTTGAACCTTTTCTTTTAAAATATCTGTTAAAATCTTGGCAGCACAGCAGATCATTACCTATGGTCTCTCCTTCCCCAGAACTTTAGGCGTTCAAACCAGGGATGAGCATACTATGGCCTGGGGAAAATCTAGCCTGTTCTTGTACCTGCACCGGAATTAGCTTAGCTTTGTACCCTTCTGCTAAGAATAGAATCATCTTTTTACATCATTGAGAAAAATAAAAATTATTATTTTAAAGATTTTATCTATTTATTTCTAGAGAGAGGGGAAGGGAAGGAGAAAGAGAGGGAGAGAAACATCGATGCGCCATTGCCTCTCATGTGCCCCCCTCCGGGGACATCGGCCTGCAACCCAGGCATGCACCCTGATTGGGAATTGAACCAGCGACCCTTAGGTTCGTAGGCCAGTGCCCAATCTACTGAGCCACAGCAGCCAGGGCAAAAAAGAAAATTATTTTAAGACCATGTGAAAATATGAAATGCAAATTTCAGTGTCCTAAAATAGTTTTATTGGCACACAGCTGTGTTCATTCATTTATGTATCATTTACGGCTGCTTTCATGCTATAATGTTGAGTAATTACAACAGACCACATGGCCCTTGAAATCTGAAACATTTACTATGTGGCCCTTCACAGAAAATGTTTGCCAACCCCGTGCCAAAGTGTCTGTGAATACCAAGTCTCATAGAGTGGCGTTCTGGGGGGCAGACCGACAACGCGTGGCCCTTCCTGTATCTGTGCCCGTGGCCAGGGAACTTTTCCGTGCTTTGCTCTCCCACTCTGACTCTGGGCCCAGTCACGTGACCTGCTCTGGCCAAGGGGAGTCTGAGGGACACGATACAAGCAGAGGCTTGAAATGGAACTGCACACTGGAGCCTGTTCTCCCGCTCCCCCGCCACTGTCCCGTGAACAGACCCAGGCTGGTCATGGGTGGGTCATGTGAACCTGAGCTGTGCAGCCCAGTCATTCCAGGTGAGGTCAGCCTAGGTTAGCCAAGAGCCAAGGGTCCCGAGATCGTCACAAGCAGCCTGGCTGACCCACAGCTGACCGCAGACACATGGGCAAGCTCTGCAGAAATCACCCAAGCCCGGCCAGACCCCCTGAACCCCAAGACTCAAGAGCCACATAACTCTGTCGCCATATGCCACTGAAGTCTGCTGGTGGTTTGTCACACGTTCCTCTGGCAAGAGAAAATGGATACGAGGGGCACGTGAATTTTAAAAATTTCATTTACCAAAACAGGCTGAGGGACATTCTTACTCTTCTGAAGGCAGTTCGGGGCTCTGACAGGGACAGAGTCTGAACAAAGCTCGGAAGTCTGGAACTACGGGGGCGGGGACCAGGCATCAGATCACATCACGAGTTTCTGCAAAAATGTCCCGTAGGCCTAATGGGACTCAATAAATTTCATCTGTATTTGCTCTGTGGCTCAATCTGCCCGCCGGGTCAAGGCTAGGACTTGGCATGCCTCTTAACTGCAAAGAGATCTAGACAGACAGACAGACAGACAGACTCCAGCGTTTATGGAAAAATTCAATTTATTTCCTATTTATAAAATGTAAAAAGTGCCTTGGGCATAAAAGCTAAATGGCCAAGGTGCAATCAGCCAGGAGCACGGAAATACCCCTTTGCACTGTTTGGTCCTTAGTAGGTGTGCAGAGAGTGAGGTGTGGGAGGCCCCTGTGCCAGGCTCAGTGGGAAGTTCCCCAGCGGTGAAGCCACAGGGCCCCCGTGCAGAAGAGGGGGCAGAAAGGACAGGGGGCAGACCTGAGACACTACGTACGTTCTGGAGTCTGTGTTGGGAGCACTTCCCTTTGCAAGAGGACAATCGTCCTTCTTGGCTGAACAAACATGAGTGGCCCGAGCCTGTCCTAGCGAAGTCCAGCTCTTCCTGGAGCACAGGGCCCACTTCCCCCTTGCAGAACCACAACTGTGGCTGGCGTCAGGAAGGAGAGGCATCCACCCGTGGGACAAGTCACCTCCGGGCCTGCGTGAACTCCCTGCGCAGCCACGCAGAGTCCTGGTAGAAGCGAGGGTCGCCCAGCCGCACGGCCGTCCGTTTGTAGAAGTAGTAGTACAACACCGCCGCTGTGGGTGGTAAGCAGACGAGGGGCCTCAGGGGTGCTCCCGAGCATTCGCCTCAGGTGAGAACCTGCCCTAAGCAGGCTGAGGGGCCCTGCCTCGTGACTTCCCCATGGCTCCCAGCATGGCAGAGGGCAGTGATCTCTCCTGTTCTTGGTGCGGTGGTTCCTCCCATCCCACGCGGCTGTGACGGGCTGGCAAGCCAGGACCAAGGCCCTCACTGCCAGAGCCACCGGGGGGACTACAGTGGGGCCCGAGGTCGTTGCTCTGGTCCTTACCTAGCCTCTGGAATACAAATAGCGTTTGAAGTCCATCTGTCCAGACAAAGCGGTTGGAATCCTTCCAGCGTAAGTTCTGAAGGAGACATGAAGGCCAAGGTTAATGGCCAGGTGAGGCCCTAACCTCTGCCGCCGGGCCAGCTGCAGAGACTCCACTTGACTGGAGATCAGGCTGGTCTCACCCTTCTCTCTTTCCACACCCCCACACGGTGTTTCTCAAAGGAGCCGCCAGCTCCCTTTTTTGCTGTAAAGCGGATATCCTTTCCAACCCTAAGGGAGGAAGTTGGAGCTAAGCTATTTATATCTTTCACTCCACAGGCTTGGCCAAGGGGAAAGGATACCCATGATCTCCGTTCCTCGTGGTCACTGCCTTGCCTCGAAAATCTCAGGCTCAGCTCCTGCCAGATAAAGGCTGGGTGCATCCGGGGTTTACTCAGATTGCCGGCTTTCCAGAGCAAAGCCAGAACCTATTTCGGCCCCAGGAACCAGAGCAGAGACAACCTTCTTTAGGAAGCACCTAGGGACTTCGGCACAGCTCTGCTTCTCTCCCCAGAGCTCTCCTGCTCTCCACGGAGTCACAGGACAACCTGGCGGGAGGTTCAGTCTGAGGAGGTGGCTACCGTGCAGGAATGACTAGGGAACCCTATGGTTTTAATGTGTTCCACTGAAATGAGTACTTGAGAAACAACAGGAGATACCAAAAAAGATGGAAGGATTTGTGAAGTAGAAGAAAAGCTGGGTCTGCCCTGAGGCCTGTATCTCAGGGCCGAGGAAGGGAGGCATCTCGGAGGGTGTTCTCCCAGTGTGCCCCAGTGTACGCGAGGGGCTGCGGCGGAGGGCGTGAAGCACAAGGCGGCAAGCAGCCCTCGGGCTTGGCTGCTTCCCTTGGGACACTGCGGCTTATGACAACCCTGTGTCAACACCCACCCAAGCGACCGAAGATGAAACAGACTCAACTTCCCGTTTTAGCCCCGGTAGATCTGTTTGGGGCAAAAGTGAACGGAATGTTCCAGAAGTATCCCTGGACTCTCGGATAAGGCGGTTCTTCAACACATAAGGTCGGGCAAGGGTACACGTGCCTTCGGAAACTCGCACACTTAGCTCCAGGCCAGACCACATTCATTTCTTTTCTTTCTTTCTTTTTTAAACCAAGGATTCCACGAGACGTGCAAGAACGACACTGGGTTCCCAGAAGGAAGACACTCCTGCTCCTTCGGAGACTGGGAATCCACTGCCCCACTCTTACCATGACCCAGATGTGAAGGGAGATGCTGAGGGCGAAGTACACGGCTGCCAGGACGATGGTCCCTTTGAACTTGTGGAACAGGAGGTTGACCAGGCCGGCCTGGAAGACGAACGTGTTGAAGAACATGAGGAAAATGATGATGATGTTGAAGAGGATCGCGATGTCCTGGATGCTGCAGACACACAAAACAAAGGACAGCCCCATGGAGGCCTGTGCGGACCCAAGAGCTGGCCCTCCGTGCTAAGGAGCACCTCGCGGTCTGGCCTTCCCTGGGATGGTCCTCTGAAACCCCCCAGAGAGACGGCATGCGCTTCGGGCCCCAAGTGACAGGAAGCGAAAACGACCCCGTGGCCCCGGCTGGTGAGTTGCAGCCCACGGACCCGGCTTTCCTCCTGACTCTCCTAACAAACCTCCTAGGCGCCGGAGAGGGGAAGCGACGTTCCTCCCTACATCCAGAAAATGCCAGCCTGTCTGTCGCATGACCTTTTCATCTGGCGAGGCAGCACTGCACTTCCTCTGACCCTTGCGTGGCCGGTGCCTTAGTGCCATTCAAGTCGCAGTCCCCCTCCTCAGAAAGACTTTTCTTTAGCCTCCTTACCTAAAGTAGCCCTTGCCTCCCCACCCACCTACTTTATACCCATTGTATGACATCTATCACTACTTGAAATTATGTTTGGGGTTTTTTTTCAATGTATTCATTGTCTCCCTTCACTAGATTGGAACCCCCCACGAGAGCAGGAACCGGTCAGATTCACCACTGCAGCCAGCACGCTGTCTGGCTGGCCAAGGACGCTTGCGAAACGTGGCAGATCGTGTCCAGGACTGTGGTTTCCTGTCTGGAATTTGCCTCATGGAGTCTCTGTAAATTATTTTTGAGGGAAAATGCCAACAGCTTCAATCTTATGAGACTCATATATATTATTAATAGGATTACCCTCTGCATCTACCATTTTGCAGTCCTCTTTCACGGCAACGTAAGATCAGATTCCCACTCACAGACGTGGAAAACACTTGGGCTAGCAGTCTGACCCTCGTTTTCCACGTGAACTGCTCCCATACCCCACGCCCTTGTCGGAAGGACTCACGACGGCTGTGTGACGTGTCTGTGCACCCCAGGACAACGGGAACTTTCCCTCCCTGATGTTTTTCCATTACCGACTTTGAAATGCAAAGCCACGACTGTCAAGGCCATCGCAGCACCGGCAGGGCCCAGCTGCACAGCCCCACCCACCGAACTCACATGAAGAGCACCAGCTGGATGACGGGGGCCGTGCGGAGCAGCTCCGAGAAGGAGTTGACGAAGAGGTCGTAGCACAGCAGCAGGAACTGCAGGGAGAGCACCAGGCTGTAGCTACTGGTCTGGAGCATCTTCCTTCTGCGCTCCTGGTCCCCCGGGGGCACATGCCACAGCTCCCAGAACACAGCTCCCGACCCTCTCCCCTGCGCCGGGGGACGAGCGTCTAGTGCCTCAGAATCACAGCTGTCTCCTTTGCTCTAAAACAAGAGCCTGCTGAGGGGAAAAAAATGAAAAATCTATTAACACAGTAAATATTTACTGAGGACCTACTATGTGCCAGGCACCATCCTAGGTGCTCAGAATACATCAGTGAACAAAATCCCCACCACCAGCAACAAAAAAAACCCCTAACCAGTCACCCCTTAGAGGGACCCTCACCCTCAATTCTTTCTCCACGCTAGAAACCTTCTAAACTCAGAACTCTTCCTACCCACTTCGAGTCCGAAGGGATCTAGCTAGGAGTGCCACAAAGGGTGACTGCCTGGTCGTGTGACGAGACCAACGCTGACGCTCACACTCGCTGCAGCACCAAACCTTGCACACCTCTTACCACAGGCCAGGGCCTAGTCCCAGTGCTGACATTATTTAAATCTCACAGTACCCGCATAAGGCGGGGGGGCACACTATTCCTCCCCCCATTTTACAGATGGGGGCATTTGAGGTCCAGAGATGAAATAAGTTGTCTGCAGTCACATTGCTAGCTAAGTGGCGGGGCTGGGACTCAGATCCAGGCCGTTTGGGTCCACAGTCCGTGTGCTCTTAACTATGGCACAAAGTTGTCTGTCACGTTACTGCTAGGCTGATGTGTAACCGGGCGAGGAAGATGTTGGCACAGAAGTGGGAAGTGGTGTCGGCAGGAAAAGCTGAGAGGAAACCATGCTCCCCTGCAAAACTGTGTGTGCAAGGTCACGGCGGCAACCCCGTGGGCAGCAGGTAAGGGGGGCTGGGCCTGGGTTTCCATGCTACCAGACCCAGAAGTTGCTCCGGGGGGCATCCTGTGACCCCTTCGTCTGGATTAAATTTATAAACAAATTTCAAAATGCTTTGAGGAGTCAGAGATTGAGATTAAATTAACATCTGTAAAATGTTGCACAACTTAAAAGCTCTTCATGTTTATTACTTTATTTAATCCTACACCCATCTGGGGCAGGCACTGTTAGTATGTATACAATCCCCACTTTACGCAGAGGCTCTGACAGGTTAAGCAAGCTCGCTCACCTCACCTGGTGGCAAGTCCCGCCTGGGTGGGTGGATGCATGAACGTGGTTTCTCTGAGCCCAGCGGGCTCACTCATCAGATATTGACAGTTATCACGTACCCGCCAGCACCACGATAAACTTATCAACCCAGATCATTTCCTCTAACCCTCGCAACTACTCCGCAACGTGGAAAAGAATCATCCTCATCCTACAGGCAAGGGCACGGGGCCAGAGTTCAAGTCATTTCTCCGGATCCAGGAGACACGACTAGGTGTGACACCCACGCCCGTGCTCACAGCCGCTGCTTCACAGGCCACCAGAGGGCTGTTGTGCGGGTCCGTTACACAGAACCGCCCGCCGCCATCTCTACGAGAAGGATGAGCTTCTCCTCCGGTTCAGAGCAGCGGCGATTCGCGAGGTAAAGAAGCGGTCTTCACAGTTCGTCCACCGCTCCCAGCCGCGTTCCCTTTGTCCCCAGGGCACTTTCCCTCACCTTTCCAAACCCACTTTAAAAGGGGGCTGCCTTGGCAAGAAGCCAAAACCAAAACACTAACAACAAAAATTCCGGCTCCTGCACTCATTACCTACTGATCATCAAGCACTCTCACCTGAAAACCCCAACGTCGGTTGTCATGGGGACACGGTCCTGGCTTCCGGAAGTCGATTTTAAATTCCGGAAGTAGATGGCGAAGGAGGGCTCTGCACCCGCCGTGCTACGTGCGGGTTCTGGGCTTTTTCACCCCACTCTACGGGCAGCTCTGTGTTTGGGCCCCCGCTTTCCTATCCCGCCCCGTTCCGGGCCCTCCCAGCCGCTGACCAAGGAGGCCTCCTGCCCGGTTGGCGTGTGGCTTTGCTGAGGGCCCTTGACGAGAGGCTTCGCGTCGGCCCAAACATTTCCGCTTCCACAAGATGGGGAGTAGGGACAGGGCAGATCGTGACGGCGTTGCTGGCCTCTGGGATCCCGGGCTTGGGGATAAAACGCCCGCGGAAGAAGTGGAATTGCACTCAGCTGCTTGGCGTGCTAGGAGTGGGAGACGCCGGACTTCATTTCCCAGGAGGCCGCGCGCGCGCCCGGAAGTAGTACGAGCCTTTAAAGGGCGAAGTGGCCTTGCCGGTTCATTCTAACGCGGTGGTGCCGGCTGTGTGTGGTGTGCGGTGTTTGCGAGGATTCTCAGAGTCAATTCGCCAAGGAACCTCGGCAACGGCGGCGGGCGCCGGGTGGCAGAAGCGGGTTTCGGATACCCTAAACCCCGCGGCGTCCCACTGTGGTTCGGGGGTGAGAAAGAGCCCGGGCTGGGAGTTTTGGGACCTGGGTTCGAGCGTTGCCTCCGCTGCTACCTCGCTTCGCACTGTCGCGACCCCTCGCTCGGCCTCAGTTTCCTTTTTTAGGAAGTGGACATCGTTCTCCGTGCCCTTCCTTCCACCAGTGGTGGTTGTAAAGGCACGAAATCTCTTCGAAAGTCGCAGTCAGCAGGTGGAGCCTCTCGCCTTAATATTCACCCAGGGTTAGCTGGGACCTCCTTGGTCCCAGTAGAGGAGTCAGGGATTGGTCGGGCATTCCTGGAATGGTTCTCGGGGCACCTGAGCCAAACCAGAGCATAGTCCGAAGGGCGGGTCTGTAATCACTCTGGTACTGAGGAGGGCTTTGCTTATCTGCCTCCTGACTGGAATTTAGGACCCCTCGCTCCTCAGTCCGGACTTCACAGGAGCTACGCTCAGAAGTGCGGAGTCCTTGGAGCTGAGGGGAGTGAATGGGATTCCTGTACCAGCTCTGCTACTCACCTTGGCCAAGGCACACATTCCTTCTTCAAGCCCAGCATGTTTGAGTTTAGGACTTGAAATTCTGGATTCCTAAAGCCATTCATCTGGGAAGGGAGAACAACAAAATGACTTTGTTCTTTCATCTATTTGTGGTTCTAAATTATAAAAGTAATAACATTGTAAGAGTTTGAAATAGAGCCTTTTTCTGTCTAAGGGCTGAATGGGAAATACTTGTTGCACTTGCTTTGCTGCGCTTCGCGGCTGTTGCATTTTTTACAAAGGAAGCCAAGACCCTCCACCAGCAAAAAGATTACAACGGGCTTTATTGCATTGCATACACGTTTTACTGCTGTGGTCTGGAACCAAACCCGTAATATCTCCAAGGTATGCCTGTACTCATTTCCTGCCCCGGGGCCTGGTCTGTGTTCACGCAGCCTGGGAGAATCCTTGCTGCCACTGTGATTGAGGAGAGTATTAGTTTGGAGAGAGGATTCCTTAGGTCGGGGTCGACAGTCTTCACCCACAGGCCACATGTGGCTCTCCTGAATGGTTTCCACATTTTTAAATGGTTGAAAAGGAATGAAGAGGGTGATATCTTGTGACATGTGAAAATGATATGAAAGTAAACATTTCAGTGTCTGTAAATAAAGTTGCTTTGGAACACAGCTCTACCCATTTGTGCAAGTATTGTCTGTGACTGCTCTTGCACTACTACATCAGCAGAGTGGAGGATGTACTTGTGACAGAGACTGCACAGCTGGCGACGACTAACGTACTTACCGTCCCGGCCCTTCATGGGAGAGGTGGCGGACCCCTGTCTTAGAACAGGGCCCCGCAAAGCAAGGGCGGAGTGGGGGACCACACCGAGGTGAGCGCAGCCTGAAGTCAGCACATCACGCTCTCGGAGTAGTTGAGAGGACATTTTTAGCATTTGGGTTGTGATTTTCACTGCATTCTTCCCCTTTCTCTGCTTTCGCTCTCTATTTCAGACGGAGGGAGCGCTCATCTGTGTTCTGTGAGCAGTAGTATATTTCAGACCTCAGTCCGGAAAGTCCCCACTGTCTGTTCCAAGTCTGCCCCGGAGCAGTAATCCAGGACCCCTCCTAGGGGAGTGGGTACAGTCCTTTTTGAGTTACAGTTTCTTTTTACCTTGAACAAAGGAAAAAATGCTGAAAGTATTTCTCAGTATTCTGCCACTGAGAGCCCGGGGCAGGCACAGGGGCGGTGAGCTTTGGGGTTTTGTCGGTAGTTAGGATGAGACAAAGGAAAAAATGCTGAAAGTAGGTATTGTTTGATGGACAGAGCCTTCTGACCAAGAGGACCTTCATGCTGACTTCACACTTCAGTGGGGGTGGGGGTTAGGTGACTAAACATCTGGTGATCTGAAACTTCCTCTGCTGTTTTTTTTAAATATTTTATTTATTTTTAGAGAGGGGAAGGGAGGGAGAAAGAGGGAGAAACACATCAATGTGTGGTTGCCTGTTGCGCCCCCTGCTGGGGACCTGGCCCACAACCCAGTCACGAGCCCGGACTGAGAATCTAATTGGCAACCCTTTGGTTCTAGGGCCAGCATTCAATCCACCAAGCTACACATGCCAGGGTTGAAACTTCCTTGGCTCTCGCAGGGACTAAGGGGACAGCTCTGGGTTTGGTAGTTGAGTCACAAAGCTTCTGGAAGCTGATGGCTTGATTTTGTCCTTCCAGCCCCATGGGAACTTGTCCCCCTGACCCCAGACCTCAGGTCATCCTTTATCAGAGCTTATTGCCAACTTGGGTCACCACACGAGAGCTCCGTGTCTTTGTTTCTGGTTAGGTGGACACCTGGCATGGAGGGAGCTGGCCTGGCACAGAGTCAGGGCCACTGAGAGCCCGGGGCAGGCACGGGGGTGGTGAGCTTTGGGGTTTTGTCAGTAGTTAGGATGAGACGCTGCAACAAAGGGAAGTATAATACTTTACTTTCACAATGACCTCACATACATTTTCTCACTTGACCTTCTAACAACCTGTGGTCAAAGAAAAAAAAAAACATGGGCCCTGAAGCCAAACAGAAAAGGGTTTGAAACTCCCTGCCCACTTTCTGGGTCTTAATGCCAGCTGCTGAATCTTTCTGAGCTTTCGTTTCCTCATCTGTAAAATGGAGATGATCCCCCAGCTCCTCACGGGGTTGGCGGGAGGAATAAATGGCATCGTGTAAGGTTCCCGAGTGGTGTCTGCTCAGTGCTGCCTTTCACTGAACAACATTCTCATAGCCGTGCCTTTCTTCCAGCCGAGAAGGCCCAGTCCCACAGCGTTAAGGGATCTGCCCAAGGTGCCTCACCTCGTGAGAGTTAGAGCCCAGGCCCCAGACTATCAGCCTGCCACCAGGTGTAAAGGTAAGGAATCAAGTGTTCTAGGTCCTTGGGAATTCTTGGCTACTTTAGGGGCCTCTTCTCCCTGTTAACTGGTGCAGATCCAGGGACCTCAATGGCAGGAAGCCACAGTGTCGCCTCCTTGGTATTTGTCCATGGGATGCTGTGATTTCCTTGAGACCTGGGCCCATGCTCCGTACACGTTAGCCAAAGGCTGGGCAGCCCTGTGACTCTGTGCGCGTGCCTGCTCACCCTCACACCCACTGGCCTGGCTTTTAAGAGGAGCTACTCGGGAATTCTCCATGCTTGAAACCAGAGTCAGTCTCTGAGTTTATCAAAATAACGCCATCTCATTTCACATCGATGAGATGCTGTAGGAACATGACTCTCCCTTACATCAAGTAACCTGTGGTAGAGTTGGCTTCGTTGGGTATTTTTCACCACCGTTCCAAGAACCTGCCGATGATGATAAGCGAGGGCACGCTGGAAAGTCTTGCTTTCTAGACCGTGAGCTCTTGCTTCCTCTTTTCTCCTTTGGACTTTCCCCGGAGGAAGAGAAAGCAGAAGTCTCAGGCCTGTGGGCGAGCCGAGGGCTGTCACCCACCTCAAGGTGGAGAGAGTGGGGACTGGGAGTGAAGGCCTGGTCTCACCTTCCCCGTTGGGAGGCTCGGCCCCAGCGGAGGACGTCTGCGTGAGAACTTTTCTGTGCACGGGAAGCCCGGGGCACTTCCTCCCGCTGGCCTAATGGTGTGCTCCTTGTCGATTACGATTTTGCCTCCTGGTGTTGGGAGTGAGGGCCTGGCATTTGTGTGACCCAGCCTGGATTTTGCTTCCCTTCCCTTCTTTTCTGTGAGGAGGTAATTCTTTATCTTCTGGTCCCATGAGGGGAGACTGACCCCAGGGCTCTGGGCGGGCCCAGAGCCTTGGCATCGGGCCACATCAGAGGAGACACCTCTCAGAGCCTGGCTGGGGGTACTGTGTACTAGGGTAGGTCCTTGGGCACTGTCCCTAACCAGGGAGTGGGCCCACCCAGCCATCAAGGCCCCATGGGAGCGGTGCCCAGTCTGATGGCAGGCAGGGGCAGGGCAACAAAAACCATCCACCCTTCCGACCAAGAGCAAGGTCTTTCTCTGGCTGGCGTGCGGGGCGCACCTCAGCCAGCAGGGACATGTGATTGCTCCTTCTAGGAGTGCCTGGTCAGAATGGCTGCGAGATGGTTTTACCTGACTGTCCTGGCGCTGTCGGCCCTGGGCTTGATGTGCGTCCTGTTTACCGTCTACTGGATGCAGAGCTGGCACGGTGGCTTTGCCTGGGACGGCACCATATTCACGTTCAACTGCCACCCGGTGCTCATGGTGGCCGGCATGGTGGTGCTCTACAGCGCTGGTGAGTATGAGGTCAGCATGGGAGACGCCCTGCCTACAGCCCAGGCCTGGACCTGGACGGGGCAGAGCAGTCTCTCTCTGGGGTTGGTTTTTGTCACCCTTGGGTGCAGGGCTACGGAGGTTGGGTGGGTGGGTCTGTGTGTGGGCCTAGGTGTCCTCTGGAGGCAGTAGCAGTGAGACCGAGGGCATCTGAGAAGGGCAGCCTCACAGATACACAGCTAGGTCAGGGGTTGTCAAAATTCTTCTACGAAGGGCCAGGTAGCAAGGATTTGAAACTTTTTTTTTTTAAGATTTTATTTATTTATTTTTAGAGAGGGAAGGGAAGGAGAAAGAGAGAGAGAGAGAGAAACATCAATGTGCGGTTGCTGGGGGCTGTGACCTGCAACCCAGGCATGTGCCCTTACTGGGAATTGAACCTGCGACACTTTGGTTTGCAGCCTGCGCTCAATCCACTGAGCTACGCCAGCCAGAGCTGGATTTGAAGCTTTTTAGGCCACATGACGTGTGTTACGGCTGCTCAGCTCTGCTGTCGCATTGTGAGAGAAGCCACAGGCAACATGGAAACGCATACATGGCTGTGTTCCAGTAACACTGTATTTACAGAAATACCATATTCTGCTGTGTATGATGCACACTTTTTTTACCCAAGTTTCTGAGGGAAAAATAAGGATGTCCATTATACATGGGTGGTGCTTAACGCACAGTTTTCACATGGGTGCACATTACACACAGGAGCTCATTGTACACGGCAAAATGTGGCAGGTGGCGGGCTGGATTCAGCCCGGGAGCTGGAGTTTGCCATCCCTGCTCTAGGGAGCAGGAGGCTGAGGCCCCTGGTGGCATGGGGGAATCCCAGCATGAGGGATCTGCCCGCTGCTGCTGGACCCAGCTGCCCCACGCATTCAGAGCCGGGCCGTGGGTCCCAGAGGGCCTCCATTTCCCCATGTGCACAGCGGGAATGACGGTAACACGGACAGTCTCAGTGTGTCCCGTGTGCTTCAGACACGGCGTCCCATTTTGCTTGTGAGGTGGGCTCCATTGCTATCCCCCTTCTACAGCCGAGGGAACTGAGACTTAGGAAGAAGACGCCAAATAGCTGAGAGGCAGAGCCAGGATCGGGGCCTAGGTCACCCAGCCTTACCGCCGGTGTTCTTGATGACCGAGCATGTTGTGAGAATTCAGTTCGGTGAATAGCGAGCGACGTTGCTTTCAGCATGTCCTCGTCCCCTCTCCGGGAGGCTGAGTGGGGCCGTGCAGGGCCGATGCCCCTCGTGGGTGGTGAGCGCGAGGGGAAGAAGCCAAGCCCCGGCACTGCTCTCTCCCGCAGCGTCCCTGGTGTACCGCCTGCCCCAGTCTTGGGTGGGCCCCAAGCTGCCCTGGAAAATCGCCCACGCGTCCCTGCATCTGATGGCCTTCATCCTGACCGTGCTGGGGTTGGTGGCCGTCTTTAAGTATCATAACACTCGCAAAATCACCAACCTCTACTCGCTGCACAGCTGGTTGGGCATCACCGCCGTGTTCCTCTTCGCCTGCCAGGTGGGTGCTCTCCACCCTCCTCTGGGTTCCCCCGGCTGGGCGGCAGCCAAGGGCTCTGGTTGGGGCTTTGCTTGCATCAGCATCCAGTGTTCCCGCTGCTCGTTGCCTGGAGACGGCGGCCTTAGCCGAGCACATCCCGTAGAATGCGCCGTTTCAAAAGCCATTGGAGATGGTGGTCCCTATACTCACCCTGTTCTGCCCACCTGTCATGCCAGAGCACTCTGAGCAAGGGAGTTTTATGAGCCAGGCACGGAAGGAAGCAGAGACAAACAAGGATGGCTGTGTTTTCGGGAGAGAGGGGTTGTAGCTAAGCGTTTCATGAAAGGTTGTGTAAGAGAGACAGACAGACCACACTGAGGAAGCTTGGTGGTGCTGGGGCCATTCCTGGTGGGAGGTGTGAGTTGGGAAAGAAGGGAGACGGTTCACTGACCAGTAGGGGGCGCTGGTGAGATGGGATGACCCGGAGCGCCTTCCACCACACACACGGGCGGGTCAGGTACTTCTTTCTCCCTGTGTCCGCAGTGGTTCCTGGGCTTCGCCGTCTTCCTGCTGCCCTGGGCGTCCTTGTGGCTGCGCAGCCTCCTAAAACCTGTCCACGTCTTCTTCGGCGCCTCCATCCTCTCACTGGCCATTGCATCTGTCATCTCTGGCATCAATGAAAAGCTCTTCTTCAGCTTGTGAGTGGGACGGGGCCCCAACTCGAAGGTGGAAGGAAAGAATCACCTTCAGAGACATGCCCTGTGCTCACTGGACCCACCCAAGGGCGGGGTGTGAGGGGCTTTGGGGTTGGGCTCACTCCTGATCGGGAAGGTAATGGTCTTAGGTTGAGATTGATAAGTCAGCCAGCAGGTGTTTCTCCAGCATCCAGTTGACTCAGTGCCTACTGTGTGTCACACTAAGCACCTCAAATTTAACCATTTGATGGCCCCACAGCATCGATACTGTTGTCTTTGCCACTTACAAATGCCAGACCTGAGGCAGAGTCCCCTTGGAGGTAGAAAGCATTCTGTAGACACCTGTCGTGGCGGGGACTTCAGAAGTGTGTCAACATTCCAGGCCTCTGTTGGCGGGGCTGATTCTCCCGCTGGGCGAACGTAAGTGGAAAAGTCTCTCAGGGGCCCACCCTGTTTCACCGTCCCCAGGAAGAACGCCACGAAGCCGTACTCCAGCCTGCCCGGCGAGGCTGTGTTCGCCAACAGCACCGGGCTGCTGGTGGTGATCTTCGGGCTGCTGGTGCTCTACATCCTCCAGGCTTCATCTTGGAAACGCCCGGAGGTGGGCGTGACAACCGAAGGACAGGTATGGGGTCATGATCTCCCGTACCAGGATGGGGTGGTGGGGGGGAGGGCCAGGTCTACAGAAGGGTCACCAGAAGAGGCTGAGGCCTTCCCAGGAAGAGACTAACCCAGTGACGCGGTGGGAAACTGGGTAGCTCGAAGGTGGGGTTAGGTTAGCTGGTGGGAAGCTCTGGTGCCAGGGAGCACGCCCCAGCCACCACAGCAGGTGCAGCTGCTCAGGCTGCGGGTCTCCCAGGGACCCGTCCACTGGGGGAGGACGGGGGTCACTCCCTTCCCCAAAGTCTTGTGGTTTCATGAGGGGAAGCTTGGCCTCGTCTTCCCCAAGGAAGGGCTTGAGCATGGTGAGGGGCGTCGGAACTCCTACTTCTCCAGCTTTGGGGCTAGCCCAGTGGGACGGGGGCTCTGTCTAGCAGGTGCTTGGTGACAAGTGGAGTGCTTGGGGCAGGCTGTGCCTTTTCTTGGCCACTCGGGCATCTGAGGGATGGGGTGTGTATCAGGCCGAGGGGCTTTGGGCGGGGACCACCCTGTAGGCTGGGGTCTGTATGAACTGCTCAACTGGTATGATGCCTGCAGGCCAGGGGCCACTGCGACACATGCCATTGACCCCTGTGCCTCTGCCTGTCTTTCCAGCCCCTGTTGCATGAAAGGGAGTGAAGCAGGAAGGGGCTCCCGGGAGCAGTCAGGGGTGCAGTCGGACTCCCCTCAGAAGCTCTGCTGTGCCTGGGCTCCCCTCTGGTCTTGTCAACAGACTTGCTTTGGGGCCCTGGGCCCCGACCTCTCCCTCCCTCCGTGTTGGGCCTGCTCTCTCCACCAACTCACTGTCCACGGCTTTTCTCGGGGGCTTTGGCTCCTGCACCCCTTCTCGGCGTTGGCTCCTGAAGTCCTCCACTTACACGGGCCCTTCTTGCCCTGGCTGCTCCCACCACTCCCGCTGTCTGGCTGAAGTCAAGCTGCTTTCCCCTGTAGGCCCCTGGGGATGTGGCAGGGAATCCCCGTGGCTCAGAGGAGCCGGACTCAAGTGCAATCTGTGAAGTGGAAAGCGAGGGAGGTGACGCACCCCTCAGCTTCCTCGAGTGCGTGCATCTCATTTAGGCACCCATGGGGGGCGGGGGTTGGGCTTCCTCAGCACTGTCACCTCCACCTGGCCCTCCCGGACTGAAGTGAGGCTGGGCGGGAATGTCAGGTGACGGAAGGGGAAGGCAGAGCAGCTTCTGCAGAGGAGAAGCCAAGGCGCTGACTGCTCTTCTCCCGTCCCTGCCTTCTGTGTTTGAGCCGTGTATCTCCACGCTTTCTAGCTGAGGCTGCAGCTGGGGCCTGGGTGCTGGCCTGTCCTTGTGGCTTACGTGCCTGTCTCCGTCAGGCAGCCCAGGGAGCCCCGGTAACCTGCTGTCCCCAGCAGCTGTCCCCACAGGGATGGGTAGCAGGGTGCCCCAGACTCCCATTACCCCCCCTTCCGAATGAGGGTTCCCTGGGCAGGTTCAACCTTGCTCCCTTGGCAGGGCCCTCGCTAAGTTTCACACTCCAGCCCGCCATGACACACGCCAGGGTGTGGCGCTTTGTACGCAGCGCAGCCTAGGAGCCGTGGCTGCCTTCAGAGGTGTTTTTCTGCTGAGCACCCGAGTGCCTCACCTGCCCCCCACCGTGGCTACTTGCAGGGCCAAACCCCATCCCGGGCGCCACACTCGAGTGTGAGCTGCAGCTCTTTCCCGGGCGGAAGACGAGGAGTCTGGCTCCTCTCCTATGTGTGGGTGCTGCGGCTTTTCCTGCCCCTTCCCCCCAGATGAGTCCTGCTGGGTCTCGGGTGCCACGCTGGTGTGGTTAGGTCCCAGGCACCATGACACCTGTGCTCACTCTCTGGCCGGTGGCAGCCCCACGCACAACCCCACACAGCCAGGTAGGTGCCGGCAGGGTGGCTGTGACTGAACCTCTCCAGTGACTGCCAGGTACCTCGGTCACATGGTAGGTCACGTGGGTGGGCGTTTCACTGGTTTATGAAGCCTGATTTTCATTAAATGTGTTTTTAAGAATCAGCCTTTTTTGCTGAGATTGTGCGGAAATGAGCTCTGGGCAGCGGGTAGGAGTCTTGGGACAGCTCTGACGCTAAGACCTGAAGGAGGAGGAGCCCGAGTCACCGAAGATCCACACGATTCTCTTCCGGGAGCCACGTGCCGCTCCTGGTACGTGCGGCTGTCCCTAACATTGCATGGCCTTGGAGCACCTTGTTATCTCACAAGGAAGAAACGTCTCCTGTGTGATCATCTGGAACACAAGGAGAAGTGTGACTCGCCCGCCCGAGGCTACCCGACCAGGAAGTGGCGGAGAGGGGAGCCGCAGGCCAGGTGTCGGACGCCAGAGCCGCCTCCCCGGCTGCTGGGTGTGCGCGCCTGTGCACGCTGATGATTACTGCACCTTTTGGCTGGGGGCCACGGGGTGGCTGCTGGGCAGGGGACCCTGGGCAGAGAAGCCCGGGGACTGAGGGAGCCTGCAGCCAAGTTGGGGCAAAGTAAGTGAAGGGGCCCCTCCCTCCCAGAGTGACCAGCTGCAGATGCCCCCTGGTGGCGGAGCGGGTGAGCTGGCAGGACTTGGGTGCAGACGCCAGCCGTACCGGCTAGCTACTCCAGCAGCTGCCAGTGGGTGAGCCCAGGACTGTGCTGAGGGCTCCAGCGTCAGTCCATTTGAATCCTTTTCCACACCCCACGAGACGGGCACCACTCTGATTTTCCAAGGGGCTCAGTGACAGGCCGGAGTTTCCGCAGCTGGTCTGGAGCAGCACCAGGGCCCAGCGCCCTGTGCATGTGCGCCCGCGCCGGTCCCTGTAACTGCTCCCCTGCACTGAGTGCGGGTCGGTGTGCGCTGTCCCATCCACTGTGCCGGACTCAGCAGTGCCGTGAGCGACTGCTCTAGAGACCCCCGGGGGCCGGCCTGGGTGTGGTTTCTGTTCCACCACTGAGCCTTAAGGTATGGTGGCTTTTCCCCCTCGGTGTCCCATTTGATTCCTGAAGAATCGGGGGTTTCTATTGGTGTGGTGCTGAGACAAGCCACTGTCAGGGCTGGTGTGAGTTTCAGGGGGAGGAAAGGATTGGGGACCCCAGTGGAGCCGACCTGGCTGTGTGAACCCCGCCTTGGGTCTCAGGGGGTGGGACATGGGCCCTGATCATCCCCAGCGGGGGCTGGGGTCTCAGCCCCTGGGGCAGCGGTGGGGCCACCTGTTCACGCACTTGGGAAAAGCTCCCTCAGAGGAAGCAGAAGCTCTGCTGCTGTGTCAATGTGGTTTATTAGCTTGTGTTTCTGCACTGGCTCAGGTCAGGTGCAGAAGGCCTTTCCCCGAGAGTCTTAAAACCGAGTTAGCAAAGCCAGTTAAAGGCTGTGCTGCCACCCAGGAACAATGCCTTGCTGCTGAAGCCCAGAGCTGGCTGGGGGCAGAGTGGGTTGACCCCAAGACCCCACCCTTCCTGAGGAGGGAGGGGCAGTGCTGAAGAGGCAGGAGACCCACTGGCCTGCAGCTTCTACACTGGAGCCGTTCTGGAAGCTGGATCCACAGGTTGGGCCTGAGAGGCCAGGGAGGTGACAGCTGGGAGGCGGAAGGACGTGGCAGTGGCTGCCTCTGCTCTGCCACTGTGAGGGGCACGGAGGCCCAGGGAGCAGTCAGGCGCCCTGGCGCTGCAAGACCTCCAGGATGGCTCGAAGAATGGCTGCGGCTGCCACTGCCCCGGGGTCCGGCTGGTCCAGCCGTGCCGAGCTGATGTAACTGGCTCTTCCCGCTCCGGCCTCCATGTTCTTGGTGGCCTGGGCTGCAGCTTCTGCGCTCTGTGGGGGCCGGAGTTGGGAGGAGCAGGTGTAAGCACAAGCCACCAGGCCTCCCTCCTGCCATCGACCCTGGACCCTCTTGTCCTAGCTCTGCCAGGACCCTCTGCCCTGTCACCAGGGTGGAGAGGTGACCTCCCACCGGTCTCTGGCAGGGCCAGGGGCCCCAGTCACTCAGGGGCTGCTATGCCCCAGACACCATGCCGGGGAGCTAGTTGTCTCTTTAGCTTCACAGCACCCTCTGAGACAGGTACTCATCTCCATTTTTTGGGGTGGAAACTGAGGTACAGGGAGGATATTAATTTGCTCCAGGCCTGTTCCCCTGGGTGGCTGGGCCCAGCCTCACTCACCTTGACAGCTTTGGTTAGGGTTGGGAACAGATCAGCCCTCGGGCTCTTCCAGGCTTGGAGCTCCTGTCCTGCTGCCCACAGAGAGTCCAGCTGGACAAGGGGAGGGGGAGGGGAGCTCAGCACAGGCCTTGCCATTGAGGGTGGGCAAAAGGGGGAATGGCTGGGCCCGTACACACCATAGTCCTGTCCCCTGGGGCAGCCTTTCCGTACCTGCAGGGGAAGAGAACAAGTGAGGGTCACTGTAGGGAATCACTTAGGGGGCGGGGACAGGGCCTGGCTGGCAGCAGGTGACAACCACCACGTCACCCGGCCACCCCTGGTCTAAGGCACAGGGCTCTGGCTCACTTCTGCATGGCCTCCAGGCCGGCATCCATGGCGGCAGACCAGGCCGGGAGGTCCGTCTTGGCCTTGAGGGGCTGGGCCGCGGCTGTCAGGAACAGGCCGTAGAGCTGGGGAGGACCGGGATTTGAGCACTGGGCTGTGGCTTGGGCCTCAGCCAGCCCGGGGCCCCTCCGTGTCAGCCCTCCGCCCCTGGGAACTGCCGGCACTCACTGCGCCAGATGAGCCTCCCATCTTCTCTAGAAGCAGGAGGGACAATTTGGAGAGAAGCTGGGCAGGGCTGGCAGGGGGTGGGCCCTCCTTCAGCCACCCCTGGATTGCTGCAGGCAGAGAGAGGGCGAGGAACTCAGAGACCCGCCCTCCCAACCAACACCCAGGCCCCGCGCCTGGAAGAGGCTGAGGGAACGCCCGTGGGGAGATCCCAAGGCTCCCTTTCCAAGTCCAGTGTGAACTCCAGAGAGGAGTGGGAAGTGGTGACTGACAGTGACCTCGGCAGTGCCCCAGCAGAGAGGCCTGCCTGACCCCCCTCACCTGCCATTCCCATCCCTTGCCTCCCTGCTTCCTTTTCCTCCTCAGCGCTTTGCACTATGATCCTTGATCTCTTACTGGTTGTTTGTTGTCTCCCCACCAGAACACAAGCCACGAGGGCAGCGATTTTTATCTGCTTTGCTCACTTGTATCCAGAGTTGAGAGCAGTGCCTGGCCTGTGATAGGCACTAAATACATTTTAAAAAACTATTTTATTTTGCCTTGGCTGGTATGGCTCAGTGGATTGAGCATCGGCCTGTGAACCAAAAGGTCACCGGTTTGATTCCCAGCCAGGGCACATGCCTGGGTCGCGGGCCAGGGTCCCGGGTGAGGGGGAGTTCGAGAAGGAACTGCTCGATGTTTCTCTCGCAAGTTGATGTTTCCCTCCCTCTCTCCCTCCCTTCCCTTGGCTCTAAAAAAAAAATAAAATCTTTAAAAGAGAAACATCAATCAGTTGCATGTGCCCCAACTGAGGACTGAACCCACAACCCAGGCATGTGCCCTGACCGGGAATCGAACCTGCAACCTTTTGCTTTGTAGGACAATGCTCAACCAGTTGAGCCACGGTGGTCAGGGCTAAATACATCTTTCTTGACCAAATGATGCTGGACAATTAAGAACTGTTCACTAGTCTAGGTAAGCCAAGAAAAATAAGAGCTACAGAATGAGTTCCCTTTCAATCTTAAGTTATTATTTGCTGCAAAGGGTATATTTTGTTCTACAGTAATGACCCTCCCACATGCATAGTGTCAGAAGGGCCTTTTCGAATGACAGTGAGCAGAGGGGAGAGAAGAGGGAATTTCAGGGGAGAATGGGAAAGGTTTACAGGAACAAACTTAAAGGACACATGGACAAAAACTAGGGGGAGGGTGGTAATGGGAGGGAAGTGGGAAGGGCTGGGTGGGTGGGCTGGAATGGGAGTAAAAGGGAGAAAACTGTACTTGAACAATGATTAAAATAAAACTTAAAAAAAAGAGATAAATTAAAAAAAAAAAGGGCCTTTTCTCCATGACAATAGGTGGAGGGGGTGCTGGGTTTTGTGAATGACTGTGCCTGGCAAAATGAAACTTGGCAACCCGCGCCAGCACTCCAAGTGTTTTTGCAATTGTTCTGGTTCATGAAATGCCAAAACCTCAGAACTGGTGTGTCCCCAGCCCCTCCCTGACCCCAGAGGGGCCCCGGGCACCAACCTCTGGCGGCGCGGCTGTGGGTGGTGCCACAGTCCCCGTCACCGGCAGCGCGGTCCAGGGCATTCAGATGTTCCTCCAGGCCCAGCAGGGTGCTGCAGACCCGCTCCAGCACGAGCACCATCTGCTTCGGGGCTGAGCCTGGAGGGGGGGACAGTGAGGAAGACGTGTGCCTGGGCCTTGCCTCTGCTGCCCTTGAAGGTGTAGAAGTCACGGGTGTCAGGGCCCCCGCACACCCCTCACCCTTCGGGGCTCAGGCCAACGGCCCAGGCCACCTGCCCCAACAGCAGGACTCGGTACCTCCTGCCGCAGTGGAATCAGGGGCCTCCACGGGCTCGGTGGGGGCTGCCCTGGTCCGCTTCCGCCCAGTCACGGAGACCCTGGGCACGGCAGGCCAGGCTGACGCGGTGGTTTCAGCATCTAGTGACAGCAGGATGACTCTCTTCAACCTGGGTCGGCTGGCCAGGGTCAAGTGGGGCTGTCCCTGGGGAGGACCCTGATGCCAACACCCCCAGTCCTGTGAGAGCTGGAGAAGGCCGGAGCTGTCAGAAAGGGCCTGTCCACTCATGGGGGACTGACCGTCATGGTTGGCCCTGACGGGGTCTCTCCAGGTCCCCCTGGCTCCTTCCAGCTATGAGGGGCCCTGGTGTGGATGGCCGCAGGTTCCAGGTCTCACCTATCAGCTTCAGGAGGGGCTCGTCCACCAGCAGAAGGGTGAGAGACAGGCCGGGCATCTCCAGGGCCGACATGAAGGTGCCCACCAGGGCGCGGGCAATCTTGACCCCCCGGCCCTCTGCAATAGCGAAGGACAGACATCTGTGAGGGAAGGTGGGAAGGGCGGTACCTCACCTCCCACCTGCCTGCCCCCGCCCCCTCCAGCATCAGATAAACAGTAAGAGGAAAACAAGGACTTTGGAAGCTGGGGCCCTGAGGTCAGGAGGGACACGGTCAGATCCGCTCAGGGCATTCCTCCCTGAGGCCCTAAATCACCGCATTCCTTGGCATCAAAGTCCCCCTGTAGGCAGCTAGGTCACCTAGGTCTCATTTGCCGAGCGCCTCCCAGTGCCAGGCACTGTGCTAAGTATGCTATGCTTGCTTAGTCTCGTTTCGACAGCCCCAGGAGGCAGGCACTGCCACTCTCACGCCCCTTCTACAGACAGACAAGGCCCGGGCTCGGTGCGTGCAGCAGTTAGGAGGCAGAGTGAGGATCCCACTCGGGCTCCTAGGACGGCACAGCCCACACTCGGGGCTGCCTCGAGACCCCACCTCAGCTTCCGAGGGCTAGAGGGAAGCAGCTCCTGGGGTTGGGAGGTCCCCTGCCAGGGCGGGGCTCACCCAGAGAGCGGACCGCGGCGTCGGCAATGATGCCCAGTTCCAGGAATGACAGGCCACCCAGGTTGTTGACCATCAGCACCACTGAGGAGCCTGGGGACAGATGTGACACCTGGTGAGGCTCTCTGGGCTCCCTTACCCGGGGTGGGGGTAGGGCTGGGGGTGGGGCTGGGGGGAGAGCTGGGAGACAGGAGGCGTGGCGGCCCCTCACCGGTCTGCACGGGCACGTGGGACACGTTGGAGGGGTTGGTCATGTGGTCAAGCACGAGCTTCACGATCTCGTCAGCGGTTGCCATCTGCCGAGGGGACCCAGGAGTGAGCTGTGTCCGTGGCCTTGCCATCATCACACCAGCCTGGCCCAAGGAGCCCACCTACCTTGACCCGGCGCACGCCAGCTTCCCCGTGGATCCCTGTGGACAGACGTAGTCACTGCTGACACGCGGAGGCCTGGGGGTTTGCTCACCGCGTTTTCAGCAAGATCTACTCAGCGCTAGGCCAGGTGCCACGCACACGGGGAGTGAGGCAGAAAGGGGCCGAATGACGGAAAACACGCCGTTTCTGCCCTTCAGGAGCTGTGGCTTGGTGGCAGGGGTGGCCAGGAGCTTACATTTGAACGAGTTAAGTAGCTTTGAGCAGGGGCCGTCACAGTGGAGAAGCACGAGGCCTCTGCCCGCCACTTCGGAAGCACAGGAGAGAGGGAAAGCGCCGTGGTTGGGGTGGCCTCCGAGCGGCCCTGGAAAGCTGGGCAGCATTTTGGCAGAGGACCCGGGAGGGACGGGGGCAAAGGCAGGGAGGCGGGCGGTGTGCAGAGCCTCACGTGGCTGAGGCCGAGGGCATGGATGGCAAAGCAGGTAGGAACCAGGCAGGTTGGGCCAGAAGGGCTTCCAGTGCCCATTTAAAAACACCAAGACCACCTAGGTGACAGCTCCAGGTAACCCGAGAGGACCAGGTAGATGGTCCCAGGGCCTAAGGTGTGGGTAGTAGAACCCAGGGAACAGGCCCGGCTGGAACAGGGGTGGCCACCAGCTTACCCAGGCCCAGCTCTACTTCATCAGCTGCAAGTTCAAAGGTGGGTCTGGAACCAGGGACACTGCAGGAGGACAAGCTCACTCCCAGGGTTCCTAGGAGAAACCAGGTACGCACGGGGTGACCCCTCAGCTGCTGGCGTCAGTCAGTGCAGCAGGCATGAGACAGGGCAGCCCCTTCATCTCCGATGGAGGAGACCCCTGGCTCTGGGGCCCAAGGCTACCAGTCCTCAAGGGTCCCCCAGGGAGACCTTCCCTCCGCCCCTGGGATGTAACATGGCAAGCCTTCCTACACAGCTGCTGGGAACCTGCTCCTGGTCCCAAGGTCAGCCTCCTCTCCCCTCCCCACTTCCCAGTCCCTGGGCTGGAACTCACCCATGTTCTTGGCGACCATGCTCACCCGCTCCGTGATCTCCTGCAGCCCCACACCTGCCTCAGCCAGGGCACCTGCCACCTGTGCCCACACAGAAATAAGCCCCCAATGGGGAAAGAGTCACTGTTGCACTTGAAGGTTGAAGAGGCTGGGACTGAGTTTCTAGTTGGCCGGGGAGTGGGGGGGGCGCTCTCTGACTACTGCCACATCAACCTGGCCCGTCACGCTTAGGGCAGAACAGTGCGGCTCCATATTCACAAAGTACTTGCCAGGAACTGTTAAGAACCCCAGTGTGCTGGAGCCAGAAGAAACTCCACAGATAAAGAAATGGGCCTTGAGAGTGGAGATGACTTGTCTAATGTCACACAGCTAGCTCATGTGATGGCCAGCTTCCTTATTCCTAGTCTAGTGTTCTTTCGCCAGGGCATATACACTGTGGCTCACTTTGCCTGCCTACCCACTAATCTACTTACCCATATATCCATCCATCCATCCACTCACCCACCTACCCACCCACTCATCCATCCATCCACTAATCCATCCATCCATTTACCCACATACCCATCCATCCACCCACCCACTTTTTGCTGAGCATCTAATATGTGCTGAAATGAAAAACAAAAGTGACTAAGTCACAGTCCCTTCCCTGAAGGAACTCTCACTCTGGGGAGGGGCTGGGGAAGCAGACACACACAAATTGAACATTCCATGCAAGGTGGCAAATGCAACGGTAGGGCTCATGGTAGGGTGTGATGGGGGCACCAAGGAGGGGCTCCGAACCAGCTCAGTGCAGTGGGAGGGGAAAGCTCCCAGATGGGGAGACATCAGAGCGGAACCTTGACGGAACAGTAGCAGTCAGTCAGGAGAAAGGACTTCGGAAGCTGTAGATACAGCATGAGGAAAGCCCCAGAGGTGAGCTGCAGCCTGGTGGTACAGGGAACTGGTATTAACGGAGCATGAGAGCACGGTAGGGGTGATGGGAGATGAACGTGGAGAGTTCAGGGAGAAGGTGCAAGAGTGTGGTGGGCGCCAGACCAAGGAGCCTGGGCTGACTCTAGCAACCCTGGAGGGTTTTCAGCAGGCGAGCAGCCTGATTAGACACATGTTTTCCAAAGACACCTCCAGGGAAGAGTGGGAACAGAACAGAAGGGTAAGCAGGAGGAAGGCAGGGAAGCCCAGTGAGGAGGCAGCAGCAGCTACCTGGGGATGAGCCCCCAGCCAAGGCTGGGACAGGAAGGGCAGGGCTCTGAGGAGGACGCGTGCTGCAGAGGCAGTCGGGAATAAGGTCACCGGGACAGGGCGAAGGTTGTGTGTGGGGAACGGACAGGAAGGGACTGAGAGAATGCTCATAGGCTGGGCTTAGCTAGGGGTGGGGGTGTGGGGCCTCCCTGGATCAGGGAGCACTGGGGAAGGGGTGGCTTCCTAAGGGGCAGGGTGGTAGGAGAGGTCCAGGTACCGGGTGCTGCCAGGAGACAGCAGGCTGGGAGGGGTGGCCAGCCCGCATCCTGGTGGGGAGCCTCACCTTGTGTATGAGCACGGTGCCACAGAGGCCCCGCCTGCCTGCCTTCTTCAGGGTGGTGAAGGCGCTGTCATCCCCGATGACCACCATCTCCACGGCGATGCCCTCAGCCCGGGCCTGCTCCCTGGCCAGGCCGAAGTTGAGCCGATCTCCAGTGTAGTTCTTCACGATGAGGAGGGTCCCCACTGCAGGAGCGGCCAGCGGGCCCCATCAGTGCCTGCCCCATGCTACCCCCAGCTGGTCCTCCTGGCAGCAGCCCCTCCTACACGCCAGGCTTACCTGTGCCCACCTGGGCCACGGCCCTGATGGCTGCCAGGATGCTGCCCACTGCCGGGGAGGTGAACACGGCTCCTGTGATGACCCCTGTCAGCATCCCCTTCCCTATGAAACCTGGAGATGGGTGGAGGGAGGATGCTGGGTGAGGACCTGGGCCTTCCCATACTCCTGAGCTCCGTGGGGTGGTGAGCCCCACTGTCCACTTGATGCCAGGCAAGCACCTGCACTGCATTCCACGGACCTTTACTCAGGAGTTATGTCCTTGGGCAGGCCTTGTTACCCACCCAGCTCCTTGGCTCGCTGTTCCTCTCCCTGCGCTCTTGTCTCCACGGCCTCACTCACACACTCTGGAGTGATCTCTTTCACTGGTGTGTTTACCTGGTTACTACTGCCTGTCTCCCCAGAGGAGAGCAGAAGGTCCGTGAGAATAGGTGCCTTGTCTGTCCGGTTCACGGCTGCATGCCTGGTGCCCAGAGCAGTCCAGGCACACAGTGGGTGCTCATTCATGTTTGTTGAAGGGATGGAAGGACTTGCCAGAGGGAGACAGGAATGGTACAGAGGGTACAGAGCCTGGTCCCAGTGCCCAGGAGCTCTGAAGGAGAAGTCACAGGCCTGGTGCTGAACAGGGAACAATCTAGGACTGTTCATGTTGCATGTGAACATGCAGGGTGGGAATTCAGAAGAGAGATGTTGCTCTAGACTGGAAGAGTCAGAAGGGCTTCATGGAGGAGGTGATGGGTCAGCTGGAAGGCCAGGAGGGTTCACAGAATCACTGACTCCCCGGGCTGGAAGAGCCTGAGAGACCATTTGGCCCAACCTCTTACTTTTATGAGCTACAGGGACTGAGGCCCAAGGAGCGGCCACAGCTGGCCCCAAATCACAGCCCAGAGTGGGAGAGCAGGAACCAGGACCCGGTTCCTGACTGGCTGGGCTCTGGACCTTCTAGCAGCTCCGATGACCTCCCCGGAGCCCCCACCCGCTCTGCTCAGCACCCCCCCTTACCCCTGGCCTACTCACCGGCATGGGCAGGCTCGTGGCCGGAGCCCCCACCTGACAGCAGTGCCACTCGGCCCTTGAGGCTGTCCAGGTCAGAGCGGAGGGCCACGCGGTGGCCCTGCAGGAGCTGCAGGCTGGGGTTGCAGGCCACCAGGCCAGCAAGGGCATCGTCAGCGCAGCCCGTCACCGAGTTCACCAGCTTCTTGGAGGTCTGGGGGAGCGGAGCGAGGGGGAGGTTTCAGGTGTGGCCTGGCTCCCACCCTTCCCAGTCACAGAGCTATGGCCAAGACCCCTCTTCCATGTCCACTCAGGAACTCCAGGGACACACAAAATTGGGTGTCATTTTATCAAGTGGTTATTTCTAGGACTTCTCCTCCTCATTTGCATCTTTTTATCCTTTGCCTAATTTATGAAACGTTTTGGACCGTGACTTAAAAGTATCCTGAAGAATGGCTTCAATGCAAAGAAAATGGGGGAGTGGAATACTGAGTACAAAACATTCAATACACCCGGGGCCCAACAGCCCTTCTCTGCCAAAGGAGGAGCAGTCCCAGGCTGAGGCTCCTGTGCCAGGGGGAGGGGCCAGACAGGCCCATACCCACTTGTTGTTCCACGTGGACCTTTGATGGGAGCGAACAATGCTGCCTGAGCCTGTTGCAGTGCCAGGCCCAGGGCTCAGCGCTGTGTGTAAGGACACAGTAGAACGCTGGTCCTGCCCTGGTGGAAAACACAGAGATTGTTTCTGCACGCTGTGGGAAGTGCTGCACCAGAGAAATGCGCACGTGCCACAGGGGCATAGAGGGGGGACCTCAGCCTCCTTGGCGGATCCTGGAAATCGCTGTGAAGGGTAAGCAGGAGTTCGGTAGGTAAAAGGGAGTGAGGAGCACCTAGGGAAGAGGGATACTGCAGGTAGGGAGAGAGTATACACCAAGGTCTGGAGGCGTGAAACAGTATGGCGGCCAGGCCAGGAAGCAAGACAGAATGACCTGAGCTACCAGAGACCCTCGGGGGGAGGTAGATAGGGCCTCACAAGCAGATGAAGGCCTCCGGCCACCCAGAGCCTCAGGCGGGGGGTCATGGGCAGGCTGGCCTGAGAGCTATAGCTGAGCTGACGTGGGTGTGTGGGAAGAAGAGGGTGGCATGGGGCTAGAGCGGTTAAGGCCTGCGGTCTGCAGGCACCGGCACCTGGGCTCAAATCCCATCTGCCTCCATCAGCTGTGAGAACTCAGTGACGACACCTCACTGTTCTGAGCTTCAAGTCTTCCTCTGCAAAATGGGGATTTACCAGAGTATATGCCTGTCACATAGTAAAAATTGAATAAAAGGGAACTACTTCCTTTTTCAAAAAGCTGGAGCTAGTTAAAGGAGGTTTGCAGACCCAATGCAGCTCTTGCTTTTGTCCCAGAGAGTGAGACGGGCCCCCAAAGGGACTCAGAAGGCCAGGCCCCCAGTGCCACCTGCTGGCCCTGGGGGCAGCCTGCAGTTGAGCCAGGTCCTGGCAAGGTGCACTTCCAGAGGCTCCTTCCTCAAGCCTGCGGGCAGCAGGTTGTTTTGTGTAAACTTCGATCTTCCCTTGGTCTGGCAGGGGCCAGGGCCAAGCCACCTGCTTCAGACAAGGAGACCAGCCCAGGTCAACAGGGAGAGAGCAGAATAGTAAGTTCGTTCAGCCCCACTCCCAAGCAGCGACTGAGAGCCAGACTGCCTCTGAGTGCTTTTGCACGTGTCTCCTTTAATCTTCCCACCACCCCCATGCAGGAAAGATTAGCCTGATGAGGAAAGCGACACACAGTTAAATGGCTTTGCCCAAGGTCACACAGCCAGCAAGCGTCCAGGTTTGCCTGGCTCCAAAGCTGGTTCCATTTTGGCCTTATCCTGCAGCTTTCCCCAGGGGCGGAAGGGAGACTGGGAGTGGCAGAGGTCTTGCCCTGGGAAGGATATGGGTCTGTAGCTCTCAGAGCCTGCCAGGGGCTGGATATGCAGTGAAGTTGTGATGGGTCTCAACTCCAAGCCCAGCCTTCAGCGTCAACAGTCTCCAAGACGGTGACCCCTTGCCATCACGGACAGCCTGTCCTGCCTGGAATCTGTAACCCTTCCTACACCAGAGTCAGAGGAGGGCTGGGGACCAGGGCCATCCCTGGTTCCCAGTGGTCTGAGGGAACAGGAGGGGAAAGGAAGTTGACTAGGCATTGTGCAAGGCCCTGGGGCTCTGGTCTGATAAACAACTCACAGCCACTTGGAGGCGAGCCTTAATCTGCCTCATACTGCAAGGAGAAAGAGGCTCAGAAAGGTCAAGTCTCTGTAAGAGGCCCCACAGCTGGTCAGTGGCAGGCTGAAATTTGAACCTAGGTCTGTCCAAGGCCTGCTTTCACTCAAGGTTCACATCAGCTCTAGAGTGGGCATGGAGCAATGCTCAGCAACACTGAGCTTCCAAAGTGCAGTTTCCACCTATGGGACCAGCCACACATGCCCAGGCTCAGGAACAGGCACCAGGTCCTTCTTCATGGCTGCTTCTGTGACCGGTACTCTGTCCATTACAGAGTAGGTAACTGTTAATGTTCTAATCTAAAGACATGACCCAGACCGGGGGCAGATGGACCTGGAGGGACTCAGAGGCTGCAGCCCCAGGTGTGGCTGGGTCTGGCTGGGAAATGGAGGGAAGCAGGGACCAGGCCCTGAGAAGGACCCTCTCTTTTAACCTCTCTGAACCTTAGAAGGCACCTCTTGGTCAGAGCGTAAGAAACTCCAGCATGCCCAGGGCTGGCAATCTCTCCAACCCCCACTGCTCCAAGCCAACAGTGTCCTTCCCCACCCCTGGCCCTCATGAGACTCACCATGGTGGGGCCAGAGGGTGGGTGATCCTGTGGGTGCTCCCTGGGTCTGAGCACAGCGAGGGTGGCAGCAGCACCTGCAGGGGAAGGTAAGGATAGGTGCTGCCGAAGGCACGCGCAGCCTACTGGCACGATCACGCTTCCAGGGCCCCTAGTAATTAGGGAGCTGCCCCAGACTTTGATCCGAGTCTAAATTCCAGAACATGGGCTGTGGGTGGACAAGAGCATGGGGCTGACCAAGGTTCACGTCTGCGCTTGGCTGCAGAAGACAGATCTGTCCACATTGGGCACGGGGCTGCCTTTTTGCCCCAGAGCAACACCCACGTCTCCCAGGGGCAAAAAGACACAAAGAGCGACTTCATTTCTTCCGTGAGTATCATATGCACTGAGTGTGTTTACAAAGCTCCTCACACACCTGAAGGCAACTGGGTCTGTGAGCACGTTACTTCTGGGAAACAGACACAGAGAGCTCTGGTGACTTGTTCAAGGTCATGCTAGTAAGAGCCAGGACTTAAACCCATGCCTATTCTTTCCACAGATAATCCGATGCCTCCAAAGTCAGGCAGAGTCCCTGGTGTGGGAAACAACACAGGTAAACCCCGAAGACGTTTTAGCCCCCCTCAGTTCAGCCCGGTTCAGAGGTGTCTTGGGGGCCGTTCACGGTCGTGGGCTGCCTGAGTCTGCAATGCAAAGAATCCAAACCTGGCTCTGTGCCTAGCCCTGCCTCTGACTAACTGGGGGATCTTAGGGACACCAACTCCCCCGAGCCTCAGTTTCCTCATCTGTAAAATGGGGGCTGTGCCCTCTGTGGCAGTCTGCAGCTGCTCCAGGCCATGTGGTTCTCCTCCTCCTCCTCCTCCTGGCTGAGCCTGCGTGATATGGCGTCGCCAGAAGTTGCAGAGCTAACTGCTTTCCTGGGTCATTAAGGTTCTCACTGGGGAAATTCGGGTTTTGCCTTTGAGGTCAGAATTTGTACAGCAATAGGGGCGCCAACAATGCTGGGCAAGTGGCCTGGATGGGTCCTTCAAAGTCTGAATAAAACAGTTCCAAGGGGAGAGGCGAACCTCCCGGTGTTCCCCCTACTGTCCAGGTAAGGCGGGGTGGCAGACCATTCTAGGGTCGAGTGAGGGTGCCAGCGGCGTTTGGAGGAACTGGGGGGGCTAACGGGAGGGAGGAACGGGCCTCGGTTCTAGTCTGGGAGGGGCGCAAATTGTTTACACTTCCCTTCCTTCTCCAGGCCTCTGCAGTTCTGGTTCCAAGGAATGAACACCCCCGAGGGCTCTGGAGCAACGGAATGGGATAAGACGGCCTGGGTTAGGGTGAGGGTCGCGCACAGGGGTTGAGGTCTGCGGATCAGCTATGACGGCTTCGGGGGCGTCAGCGCAATTCGCCCAAGCACTCACTCCCCCCTCACCAGCCCAGATGACGCCGCCACTCCACAGGGACTCACAACAAGCGCCCACATCCGGGTACCCGGGCTCAGGCGGTAAACGACGGGGCGGGGCCTCAGGGGGCGTGGCCTCATTTGATTGGCCGCCTGGGGAGCCTTGAGTCCTCCAAGAGGCCCGGTGAGGCCGTCCCGTGATGCTCCGCGTCCCGGTCGCTCTGGCCTGCAACGTGTCTGTGGGGCGGAGGCAGCGGCCGCGGAGTTCGCCGCGCGGGCAGGACTGCCTGTGTCTTTGCTGGTGTCCATCTCTCTGTCGTTGCTCTCGAGTCTCTACAGGCCGCTCCAGATCTCGACATGTCGTACAACTACGTGGTAACGGCACAGAAGCCCACCGCCGTGAACGGCTGCGTGACCGGTAAGTCTGCCCGGGCCGGAGACCCCGGCAAGGGAGGGATCTGGGGAGACCCCGAGGCCTAGGGGGGGACCCCGAGGCCTAGGGAGGCCCGCGGCCCTTGGGGCGGGCAGCCGGGCGGGCCCGGGCTCGGGCCGAGGAAATGGAAGGGTCCAGCGGCCAAGGATCCTCTCCTAGTCCACGGCTTCAAAGAAGCTGTTTCCACATGCGCCTTTTGGGGTGTAAAACCTCGTTCGAGGGTCCCCCTTAAGTCCTGGGAGGTCACTTGGCCTCGAGGACAAGGACGGGCCCAGTGGGACCGAGAGCGAAGTGTGAGTTGGTTGTGTGCTGTGTTGCTTGGGCCTCCTCATTGGCCTCGTGTGGTCAGGGGAAGGGGCGGTGGTGATGGCGATTTTGGAGTCAGAATTTTCTTGTGGGAGAGCCTGGCGGGTGGAGGGACGTGAGGAATGCTCGCACTCACCCGGAGCGGGACTGAAGTCCTCTTCGCCTGGGGCTGTTTACACCAAGGAGCTGCTGGAAAGGAAGATTAGGGTGGCCCTGCCTACTGCTGTTTTTGCCTTGTTGACTGTGGAAAGATTAAGGAGACAGATGTCCCGAATCCGGGAATAATCGTCTTGAACTAGGTTTTCAGCAAAATTAGGGTGATCTCAAACTTGTGTGTTTCTGTAAATACTTATTATGATTACAGAACAAAACAGTTGTCAGTTTGAAGTGGTAAGAGAGTGTGGGCAAGGGTTTCAGTAGACTACTGGGGCGGGGGCGCAAGCAGTCTGGACAAAGCAATGTTTTGATATAAAGCTCTGAGAATTTTCTTCATTCAGCCTGGTCTTTGCGGTGTATATTTTGTGAAAAGGTAGATAATGACCGAACAGAGATAAACACTTTCTTAGCATCGCTTAATTAGAAGGTAAGTATGCCCTTGCAAAAGGAAAAGGAAAATTCGAGGGCGCAGAGCCATCTGAAGAAGATGAAGGGTTTTCACAGTCATTGCCAGTTGAAGGACATGCTGCTCGTAAGCTGGTCCAGTTTTCTTGGCATGATTCGAGAAGTAGCTTCCATGAATGTCCGAAGTGAGACTCTTTGAGGTGCTGGATTTGGTGAGAAGGGAGGGAGCTGAATCAAGCGAGAATTCTGGAGTTTTTAGAAACTGCTGTGGCTTCAAAAGTTAGGGTATCTGTTCTTTCAGGACACTTTACTTCAGCTGAAGACTTAAACCTGCTGATTGCCAAAAACACGAGATTAGAGATCTATGTGGTCACAGCCGAGGGGCTCCGGCCCGTTAAAGAGGTGGGCATGTACGGGAAGATCGCCGTCATGGAGCTCTTCAGGCCCAAGGTAAGCACGCGCTCTGGGTTGGGCCCAGCAACAAAGATGGTTTTATGTTTTCGTGGGGTTGTTTTTTTTTTTTTTTTTAAATCATTGCTTGAGAAGGCTTAGGAGAGAAACAACCCATTTTGAATGGCAGACTTTAATTTATATTCTTCTTGAACAAGCTTTCTATAAGTGGGGAAAAATTGATCAAGTTGACTTCTTAAAAAAGGAGGAAATTAAAGCAGATTGAAATGTGGGTCATCATGGCGACTGGGAGCATTGGCTGTAGAGTAAGGCAGTCCTAGCTTCGTTCCTCCTTAATTCTAACTTGGGGTGGCACTTAACCTTTCAGAGCCTTTACTTCCCTATCTGCAAAATGGGGATAACGGTATCCATTTCCTGGGTTATTGTTGAAGATGAAATAATTTAATGGCACAGGGCCTAGGACATAGCAAGCACTCATTGTTACGTTAACAATTAGTATCATCGTTATTATTATTCAGATGTTTTCATTCAACTAACCACCACTTGGCTTCATTATGTCTTAACTGAATCTGACAAAGCAATGGGTTCAACATTTTGATTTTAACCCTTAGAACAAAATACATTGGGGGGGTCTATGTTAATGAGTAAGACTTTGTAGATCCGTTTTAGCTTTATTGTTATTCACATTTTTTCCTCTTTCTCCAAATACTTGGAAAAGATTAGAGGAGTCATTACATTCATCTCTCAGAATTTGAATGGAATGGCTGAGATTAGCTTGATACGGCACTCGATGAAGATACTGTTACGGAGAGCAGAGGGCTGTGCAGCTGAGGACTAGATGTTTACCAGTCTCAGTCCTGGCCTTTGGCACACACCCTCAGGGGGTGGGGTGGGGGTGTGTGTGTGTGTGTGTGTGTGTGCGTGCGCGCGCGCTTATGTCTGTTACGAACTCACTGGATATTCTCTTCAGGGAGGACAAACAAATTCTTACAGAAATGCGCATGCTTCAGGAATGATGCTTAAAGGCTGGACGGGGACTCCTGTTTTAAAAGAACCTTTTTTTTGATAGCATGATGTTCGTTTCCAGGGGGAGAGCAAGGACCTCCTGTTTATCCTGACAGCCAAGTACAATGCCTGCATCCTGGAGTATAAGCAGAGTGGTGAGAGCATTGACATCATAACTCGAGCCCATGGCAATGTGCAGGTGAGGGGGCCGCTTTGGGCTGAGGAGTGTTTTCCAAGGAGGGCCGTCACGGTTTGATGAGGAAAATTGAAGTGCCGGGGGCAGCTTTCTCTATATGATCAGAGAACCAAGGAGAAAGAAAACACTAAGGATTTGAGCTTTTATGAGGAAAGGACTTCTGTAGTTTACTCAGAGTCCAAGGGACAGGGTAAACAGTTCACGGAGTTCAGTGTTTCACAGAAACACACGCACTGACATTTGGGCGTTCTGGTTTGTCACGTAGATGCCACTGCTCCCGAAATCATTCTGGGAAAGTGGTGCCTAGTGTCCTCTGTGCTCTGGGTTTTGAGGTTCTTTCCTAACCCCAGTTTTGCTTCTCAGGACCGAATTGGCCGCCCCTCTGAGACTGGCATTATTGGCATCATTGATCCTGAGTGCCGGATGATTGGCCTGCGACTCTATGATGGCCTTTTCAAGGTCATTCCGCTAGACCGGGACAATAAAGAGCTCAAGGCTTTTAACATCCGCCTGGAGGAGTTGCATGTCATCGATGTCAAGTTCCTATATGGTTGCCAAGCCCCTACCATCTGTTTTGTCTACCAGGTACTGGACTGGGAGGAAAGAGGGAGACGCTGTGTGGCTTGGCATAGTAGGAGCTCATTTTCGCTGCTAGTAGGGTAGGCAGAAGTGGTTCATGTGTTTGTCCTGAAATGTTTTGAGCAACATAATTAATAGGGTCAGGTTTTGGCTGTGTCTTGAGTGCAATAGCACTTGTTGTGGAGGCTGGAAGCTCTTTGAGGCTTGTAGCGGGTTTTAATTGTGAGATTACATCCTGGTTATGGGCCTTGGAGATTTTGTAGGGTGACCCAGTTTAGTTTTTCTTTGTTTCTTACTGGCGTGCTAAGGGATCGGTAAAGCTTGGCTGTAGAGAAATGATCTAGAAGTTACTTTTACAAGCAGAGAGAAAAATGTCCTGATGCATTTATGTCTTCTAAGAAGAGGTTGGCATTTTATTCAGCATTCACTTTCTGGTGACTTGCTGGCTCTGGACTTCTATTTTAGTCTGTGCCTCAACCTTCAGCAGAGCTGATCGTGGGCAGCTGTTCTCTGGGCCAGATCTGCTGGGGGTGGGGGGACAGGGTGGCAGAGCACCAGATTAACATGCCTGTGTCTTGGTGAAATCTCAGCCTTTTAACAAAGGGCCATACAGCATGAGGTCACTCCACTAGCATGTTGCTGTGTAAATGACAGAAGGAAACCGTCCAAGTCCGTGTAATCTGTGTGGGTATGAACACACTGAGAGCTGCGTTAAGTATTGGAAGTACACTGATGTATAACTGTTTGTAGGTTTCTCAGTGTCACTAGAGGTGTTATGGTTCTGAGGCTGGTTAGAAAAAGTTCAGTTGAGTAAGGTTGCAACTATTTTGGGACATCTTTCTAAAAACCATCTTTACAGTCTTTTAATTATCAGAGTTGAAATAAAAACTTAGAATTTCTCTTTCTCCTTCAGTTTTCTAAATATCAGGTCATTGAAACATTGATGCTGGTTATTGTGACTCTGCCTGTCTGCAGCCTCAGGTCTGCCAGTGTGAACAGTCTTTTCCTGTTTGTGTGTCTCAGGATGCCCAAATCCAAACTTTGTGAAGTTGAGAGTTACCCCACTATTGATGGGAAAATCGAATTTTCATGAACTAAAAATTCCTTTGTCTGTTTTTTGTGTCCAGAATTCCATTTCACTGATGTTTACCACGTGAAAGGTAGTTATGCTGATAGTTCATGGGCTGTAGCAGTCACTAAGGTGTGGTCCCTGCACTGGAAAACATCGTCGAATTCCTTTCATAACTTCCCAGACCCTGGTCTGGCCTTTGCGAGGCTGTCCCCCGCCATCAGGATGCAGCCTGCTCCCGGCCTGCCGAGTTACCGCCGCATAAGGAGGGCTGCTCCGGGACATGGCGGCTGTGACTCAGAAGGAGGAGGGGCGGGGGGGGGGGTGCTGACTGACCCCAGGGGAGCGCCGTGTTGTCTCCCTGCCACCTCATCGGGATGCCTTTAAGACTTTATCACATACCTTTAAGAATGCCTTTAAGACTTTTAAGGATTTAGGTGCATGTAGCTTCTTAGTGCCCTTTTTCTCTTTAGTTATTTTGTAAGTTCCTTGTGGTTAAGGAGTATGGAATATGTACTTTTCATATACACACACACAGAAATTTACATGTTTACCTTGTATCGTACAGTGGCTGGTTCAGCAGGACAGTTTCCTTCTTTTTAATTCTTAAACCTTTATTGGTTGGGTGATCTGTAGGTGACAGTAGGCCTCAGTGACGGTCTACCCAGGCAGTCACAGGCACGGTCACAGACAGGAAGGTTGGCACGACAGGATTGTCAGATGCTGGGCGGTGGTCACCTGTCGCTTCCAGGGCCCCTCTCCTTCCCTAAAGGCCAGTCCTTCCATCTTTTCCCACTTAGGACCCTCAGGGGCGGCACGTGAAGACCTATGAGGTGTCTCTCCGAGAGAAGGAATTCAATAAGGGCCCTTGGAAACAGGAAAACGTAGAAGCTGAAGCTTCCATGGTGATTGCAGGTTGGTTGGGGGTTTCAGGAAATTTGCCCCCGTCTCAGGTCTCGGCCAATTCCCCGATTTTCTTCCCTCCTCGCCTGCTCTGCTGCTTCCTTTCAGCGCTCAGGGCCGTCTCGCGTGCACTGGCCAGGGCTCCCTGTGCCTCTTCTGTGAGGGTGCTCTCCTTTGCTTCTTCCACTTCTGGTTTGCGGACTGTCTTGTGTTTTACTTTTCCACCAAAGTATAGTTTTTCTTTGCTTGGGGTTAACTAAGACAAATTGATTTACAGAGTGGCATATGGGAATTAGTCTCGTTATTTTATTGTTGAGCACAACCTTTAAAAAACTGAAAGGAGCCGGTAGAGCTTAGCTCTTCCTGTTCCTTTATCTCATAGGTGAGGAAACAGGGCCCGAGGGACTCGCCCGTGCCTGTGCCCACGTGGCAGAGCCAGGGCTGCGCTGCAGACCCGTTTGCCCCTTCCATACCTGTGCTGTAGCCCCGGCACTGTGCTGTGTGTCTCGGCTAGTACGGAGGGTGTAAACCCTTAGGTGCAAATTGGCTCTTCTAGATGGCGGCCCTGAGCATGGGGGAGATTAAACTAAGGAATAAGGAGAAGAGTAAAGCTTTTCCTTTGGAAGGATCTGAGGTGCAGGAGAGGAAAGTGGGGAGGATGCGTGTGGAAGAGCACCGAGCGGACTGTACCCTAGGAGCTCAGACGCACCACGAGTGGCGATAAAAATATCACCAGGGTTAGGTAGTGCCGGCCTGCAGTCTCTCAGACAGAGATCTCAGAAGAAGACCGTCATGTTCCGTGGGCTGAGGTATAAGAGTAATGACTGTCTTCAAGTTTGCCTCGTGCGCCTGGGTCAGTGCCCTTGCTGTCGCAGGGTCTGGCAGGTCCAAGGGCGGAGCCCTCCAATGCTGCCCTTTCTCCTGCAGTCCCAGAGCCTTTTGGAGGGGCCATCATCATTGGGCAGGAGTCAATCACCTATCACAATGGTGACAAGTACCTGGCGATTGCGCCTCCTATCATCAAGGTGAGTGGCCTTCCTGTCCGTTTTCTTCCTTCTGTCTTTCTCCCCCTTCCCCCCTGGTTCTTACCCTGCTCCTCTCTTCGTCCCCATTTGTGAGAAGGAGATGATGCGCAGGGTCGGCTGTGCTGCTCGCTCAGCACAGGAGACACTGCGTTGTCACACGGTGTCGTTGGGAATGCAAGGAGAGGTGGGCTGGTTTTGCTTAAAAAGACCCCACTTGCCTCTCAGAGAGAGAAATGCTGAAACAGGTTCACCTTTCCGTTGACTGGGGCCAACTTGAAGAAGGGAAACATTTTATGAATTCTTTTGAATATTTGTAGGTCTCACATCGTGTAAGTACTATGGTGATAAATTACATAGACAAAATTAGTCATAAAAATTACAAGCTTTAAAATTTCAAGTCCTAAAAATTAACCCTTTAGTATAAATAACACAGTCTGTGGTAGCATTTATGGTCCAGTGAATGATTAGAGCTGCTTTCTACTCTTTCTGTTCCTATATTCCAGGAGAATAATGTGTGAATAAACATTTTAGGTATATTGAACTCACAAAATTGTCTTAGAATAAAAATGCCCCCACTTTCAGTCACACACGCAGTGTTCGCTGAGTGGACTTCTTGCTCAGGCAGTGGCTGAGTTTGGTAAAGGGAGTGTTTGCTCTCTGCTTGTGGAAGGCACTCAGCCTCCAGTGACGGTGTCCTCCCTCTGGGCAGCAAAGCACAATTGTGTGTCACAATCGTGTGGACCCCAACGGTTCCCGCTACCTGCTGGGAGACATGGAGGGACGGCTCTTCATGCTGCTTTTGGAGAAGGAGGAGCAGATGGACGGCACCGTCACCCTCAAGGACCTCCGGGTAGAGCTGCTTGGAGAGGTAGGGCTTGTTCCCACGCTGCTGTGTTCTCCCAGGGGCCTGGCGACCCCACGTGTGTGGTCCCGTGCTGCAGCTGGGAGGTCCATTTCCTGGCAGCAAATGGTCATTCATGACCTAGAAGCGTGTTTTGGAATGAGTTAGATGTTGAAGAATCTTAGAGGCAGTCTGGCACTACCTATCTGAAGCACTTTAAGAGAAAGAAACAGAAAGGAAGCAGAAAGAAATAAAAAAGAATTAAAGGTTAATGTAATGCTGATACTCACTTCTGGGAGGAGATTCCAAAAAAAGTTTAAGGATTACGCACTGAATTTTAGAGGTTTCTAATTGTTTTGAGGAGACCGAAGTGGTTGGGATTGAAGCGATCCTTTGGAATAGGCACCTCAAGATAAATTACAGGGTTTTCTGGCTGTAAAGGTGTAAAAAAGGGAGAGTCACAAACGTCCGAGATGTAGGAGCATTTTTCAGTGTGACCGGGGATTTGAAATGCACAGCTGTTTCAGCCATGACAGCTGCAGTCCAGCGTTCTCCCAGCGCAGGGCTGAGAGGTGGGCGGGACGGTGTCTGGGTCCCGTGAAGGGTCCGTTCTGATGCCTTTCTTGCTGTTGGCTCTCTCCTAGACCTCCATTGCCGAGTGCCTGACGTACCTTGACAATGGTGTTGTCTTTGTCGGGTCTCGCCTTGGTGACTCGCAGCTGGTGAAGGTGAGGAGGCGATTTTTTCTCTGTAGCTTCTTCTTCACTGGCTTCCCTGCTGCTTCCCCAGGTGTCTCTTGTGTTGGGTACCCTCGGCATTTCTTCACTTCACGCATATGCCTGCTGTTCAGCTCTCTACGTGGTTGGTTGAACATCCTACCCTGACTAGCCCTTTGTCCTAAAGGTTCATTCAGCAAATGTATCAGGCAGGGTGCTGGGTGCTGTGGACAATGATGAACAAGACCCAGCTCCTGACTTCAAAAGCTCATAGTTTAATGTACGGGATGCCCTCTAAAATAAGAAGATTTTGGACCTGTGCAGAAACGTGCATGCAAACACTTTACATAAGTTTCCACACTGCTTCCTTAGAAACCACTGCCCGGGGTTAGTGGTCCCCTGTGGCACAGCCACACTCCTCGGTCAGCGATCCCCTCCTGGAAACCTCCAGTGGAACACCAGAGGGCAGGTCCAGTAGGACCGAATTTCTTCCGGGCGAAGACTCTCTTTTGGGAAGGCTCTGTTAGCAGCGTTGCAGGACTGACAGGGTTTTCGTCTTTTCAGCTCAATGTTGACAGCAATGAACAAGGCTCCTATGTCGTGGCTATGGAAACCTTTACAAATTTGGGACCCATTGTGGACATGTGCGTGGTGGACCTGGAGAGGCAGGGGCAAGGGCAGGTAAGGGGGTCAGCCTGGAAACGGGCGGCTGCTGTTCCCGTCAGACTGTGTCCTCCTGGGTTTGCCCGTGCAGCATGGGGACGCGCCCTGAAGGTCGCTGTCAGAGCCTTGCTCGCTAATCCCACTGGTGGAAGGGTCACTGCCATTTGCTGAGTGCCTGTCCTGGTTGGCCAGGCACTTTATGTACGTGACCTGTGATCACGTGGGCACCCGGATAGATGGGGGTTCTCGGCCACTTCAGAAGAGAGGAAACTTAGGGCTGAGGAAGATTAAGTAACTTGTCCAAGGTCATGTAACTGCTAAGTGGTAAATGTGTCTGACTCCAGGTCCTAGGGCCTCTCTAGTAAACCGGGTTCCAAGGGTGGAAGCAAGGTTGCTAGGAGGAAAAGGGGGAGCTGTTTGCTTGTTGGACTAGGCCGTTCTGTCTGCTCAGTGTATTTGAGGGCCTTTGGAGACCCAGCGAGTCTGTGTTCTCACACCCAGCTCCACAGGAAGGGGCCTTGGATTTAGGTGCAACTAGTGCACTTTCTGGGCATCAGTGCGATGGCCTCAGGCTGTGGAGGGGGTTATTTAGAAACCTTTTCTCTCCTTGCAGCTGGTCACTTGCTCTGGGGCTTTCAAGGAAGGTTCCTTGCGGATCATCCGGAATGGAATTGGAATCCATGAGCATGCCAGCATTGACTTACCAGGCATCAAAGGTAGCCTTTTGGTGGACATAGGATGCAGATCTTACTTGAATGACCTTAGTGTTTGACCTTGTTACCTGTTCTGAGGGCTTGGGTGGTAGCTAGAGAAAAGAAGGTCAGATGAAGAGTAAAGAAAGTCACAGTAACAACAAAGTTAAACATACTTTAACATTCTTTAGTATAAAAGTTTGTTTAAAAAAAGAATACTGTTGACCAAAATTGAATCATGGAAAGAGGAATGGGAAGGAAAAGAATTAGAGGTTAAATTTAATGTTTGTGGGGAACTGATAGAAGCCCTAAAGCAGGGGTGTCAAACTCAGTTTCACCGGGGGCCACGTCAGCCTTGGGCTGGATATAATTTCAGGACTGTGTAAAACGTGTAGTGCTTGTGTTGGGACTATATATTATACAGTCCTAAAATTACATTTGTCCCTTTGAAGGCAACTGCAAGGCTGATGTGGTCCCCAGTGAAAATGAGTTTGACACCCCTACCCTATAGAAAACGGGGACAGAGGATATCATAGAAAGGTATAAGTAACTTGTAGAACAAAACTACACAAATTTTTTCAATTCCAGGAGAACTAATATAATCAAAAAGACCAAACAAAGACTGCATAATGAGAAGCTTACAGTAAACATAACCCAAAGTAACATGACAGAAACGATACCAAACACGTATGAGTACCTGCATCTCAGGTCAGGGCCTGACACCACATCAGTGAATGTAAATGGGCTAAATTCGCCTGTTACAGGAAAAAGACGATCAGATTGAATCCTAAGGCAAAACCAGTTTAAAGTTGTATAGAGGAGGTACAACTAAAATAAAGTAATTTGGAACATAAAAAAGTGGAAACAGAAAAGAAATAGAGGTTTATGAATAAGCAAGGAAGAGGTCATATAACTACAAAACCCAAGAGAATCAACTGAAAAAACTATAGACAAAATTCATTAAGGTACAGGAATATGAAATTAATGTACTGAAATCAGTAACTTTCAGTTAAAAACACAGAGGATATAGTAGAGGGAAAGAGACAATTTGCAATAGCAGTGAAAAGGCAGAGTACCAAGTAAATAAATTTATCAAGAAACGTGCAGAATCTATACATGGAAAACTTTCAAAGCAGTCTTGAAGGACTAAAAGGCTAGATTGATGAAATGAGAAAGGCGTCCCAAGTTCTTACAAATCATTATGAAGCTGTTCTGTCTTTGACTGTTCGGACATAATGTTTCTCACTAAAAGTACCAATAGGTCATTTTCCTTGACCTAGACAAGCCACAGTCCAAGTGAGGAAAAGAAGCAAGCAAAGCCCAGAAACCTAAGGGCCGTGAGACAGACTGCCCTTACCAGATACTGAAACGTACTAGTGAACCTCAGCAACTGCAAGTGCGGTTTTGGTGCACAGATAGTCTCATGGCAGACTCAAAAGTCCAGAAATCACACAATTATATGTGGAAATTTAGGATATGATCGTGGTGGTCCCTCAGTTCAGTGAGGTGAAGGTGGTTGATTTCAACGGTATTGGGAGAACAGTTACTTGGGAAAGATAAAGCAGGACCCCTATTGCATAATGTGTACCTTGCTAGGATCTAAATGGATTAGAGACTTAATGTAAAGCATGAAGCAGCACAAAAGCTGAAATAAAAAGTTTGGTGAATTCCTTTCTGATTTTGGAGTGGGAAGGTCTTTTCAAAGTAGGACTCAAAAGTACAGAGGCCAAAAAGAAAGATTGATAACTTCAACATAAAAATAAAACATTTCTGCATGCCAAAAAACAAAACTCTATAAAGGTAGAAGAAATGGAAATTAGTTAAAAAGGTCATCTACTAGCCAAAGACCTAATCTCCCTAACTTATAAAAAAGAATTTCTAGAAAGATCGCCAAACTTTCGGTCCCCAGTTTGGCAAAGGACATGAATGGACAGGTACCAGGCTTCACTTTGTATCAGGAGGAATGCAAAACAAAACAAGGTAGTGACACCATTCTCTACCTAAGGACCAAACCCAAAGGCTTGGCAGCGTGGTACAGTGGTCAGGCTGTGAGCAAGTGAGCATGCTCGTTGGCAGTACCCACCAACACCGTGGCTGCGTTTAGTGAATTACCCTCGAACCCCAGTTCTGGGCCTCTGCCCCCTAGACCTTCACAAGTAGAAAATGACGTGAGTGTAAGACTATTCCTCGTGGCATTGCATGGTACCTTGAAGTCCACTGCCAAAGTGTCCAGTGGTGGACAGACTCATAAACTGGTGCAGCTCCACGATCAGACGCTGCGCAGAAGTCAGAACCAAGGGGACGCCCCGTTCTGATACGGGCTCGGCACACACCCAGTGAGAACTCGAGGTGCAGAACAGTGTGCAGTAGGTTGGTCTATGTTTGTGTTTGCTTGTCATGCAGTGTTGACCTGTTTCCTTAAATTTAGAAAATACGCTGGAGCCCTGGCTGGAGCGTTGTCCCATAAACCGCAAGGTCCTGGGTTCGATTCCCGGTCAGGGCAGTGCCTGTATTGTCGGGTCAGTCCCTGTTTGGGGTGTACGGGAGGTGGCTCGTCAGTGTTTCTCTCCCTCTCGTTCTCCCTCCTTTCCCCTCTCTTCAAGGAGCATGTCTTTGGGTGAGAATTTAAAAAGTAATACTGAAACAAACAATTATTAACCAGTGTTACCCCAATAAATTAAATTAAATGAGAAATATAGTGGAAGGACAAACTGCAATAGAAACTGTCCTTGATGACTTATTTGAGGGATAGGTTGGAGGGAGAGGTATAGGAGTGAGCCTTCTGTTACATGTTTTTTTTTTTTTAAGATTTTAGTCATTTATTTTTAAGGGGAAGGGAGGGAGAGAAACATCAGTGTGTGGTTGCCTTTCGTGCGCCCCCCCCACCAGGAACCTGGCCCTCAACCCAGGCATGTGCCCTGGGAATGGAACCAGCGACCCTTGGGTTCACAGGCCCGTGCTCAATCCACTGAGCCACACCAGCCAGGGCTCTGTTACGTTTTAAAAGTAAATTTGACTTTGAGTCATGTGATGTATTACCTGAAATCAAATGAAAAACCTTCAAATACCAGACTCAAAACAGTTTTTAGAATATCCGACTTCTTCAGAGTCCTAATGCTGGGGGGGCATAGTCAGCCCTAAATTTAGGGCTGACTCCAAATTTCCCGCTCTTCCCGTGGGGTCAGCTGGCCCTTCCTTAGATGTGTTGGTCTGTGCTATGCATCTTAATCCTCGACCTTTGTTCCAGGCCTGTGGCCGCTGCGGTCTGATCCTAGCCGGGAGACTGATGACACTTTGGTGCTCTCTTTCGTGGGCCAGACGAGGTAGGATGAGTCTGGTGCCAGCCCTAAGTGCTCATGTGAGGGTGGCAAGGGGGGAGGCTGGGCCGGCTGACCCCGGCCTCCTTCTGCCGCAGAGTTCTCATGTTGAATGGGGAGGAGGTGGAAGAGACCGAACTGATGGGTTTTGTGGACGACCAGCAGACTTTCTTCTGTGGCAACGTGGCGCATCAGCAACTCATCCAGGTAACAGCTGAGAAGGGGGCAGGCCCCATGTCCTTGAATTTGACCTAGAGTGTAGTACAGAGCACCACCAGATTTTAGAACAGTCCATTTTTACAGCTGTAAAAATACTGTTAAAGAGTTAGAAGAAATATAAGTTACTGATAACCCACTACTCAGCAATAACAATTTCACAACTCTTAGCTTTGGAGTTATTGCTTTTAGCTTTGTTTCCTCTGCAAAATATAGATATGTATTGTTTATTCATGCTTTCGTTAGTAGACTGGTGTTATTACATATATATATGTGTGTATATATATGTATGTCTTGGGGGGTTCTTCTTTAGCACTAAGTATACCCTGTTTTCTGAGGCAGGCATTTGCCCCTCATTATAATATGGATGCATGCGTACTGGGAGAAACGCAGGAAGAAGAGAAACAAGTAGTCAGAGTGCTGCCCTCCATGTGCGCCTGCTGGCTGCACTCCGCACATACTGCTTGTTAGAACCAGAGCTCTCACGCTTTTCGGGTTCTCATTTTAAATCTGTCCGCAGTGCGGGGCCAGATAGCGCTTTGGCACTTGTCATCCCCGAGAGCCTGATTTCCGAGCCCCTGGCCGTGTTCTCGTGTTTGGAGTGACCCCTTTGCTCTTGGGTCCCGCACCCACCTCACCTTCTGAGCTCCCCCCGTTCTGGCCAGAGTCGGTGTTTGCCAGTGGCGAGCGGACAGCACTGGACTGGCTGGGGGGGGTTTTGAACCGGTTCCCTCTTTTCACCCACCTGGTCTTCCTTTTAGCCAGTGGGTGATGGCTTGCTAAATAGTGGCTTCCTGATTGGGCAGTGGCTTACCAAAGGCCTTTCCTAATTAAATGCCAGCTCAGCTTTGATAGGTCAAGGTGAATTGATACAGCGTCATCAACCTACTTTTTGTTTTGCTTTGGTGATGAAATACATTTATAAAACATGTCAATACAATTTTGTTGCCTTTACTAAAGAACTTTAAATAATTTTAATTTGTGCATAGTCGAGAACTTGGATATTAAAAAATGTTAGAAGTGTCATGTTATTACATAGTTAACATAATCTTTTCAAGGCTTTCCAATCCCCTAAAAATAAAGATAGGTCATTTGCTAGTACCACTTTCTTAAAGAATGCACTTTTGCTAGTTAATTTTTCTTTTTTTATTTTTTTTTAGAAGTTTGGGCACTTTTTTTTTTAACCCTCACTCAACGATATGGATTTGTTTCTGTTTTTGTTTTTAAAGAGGGGAAAGGAGGGGGAGAGGGAGACATCAGTGTGTGGTTGCTTCTTGAGTGCCCCCTACTGGGGACCTGGCCAGCAATCTGGGTATGTGCCCTGACTGGGAATTGAACTGGTGACCCTTTGGTTTGCAGGCCAGTACTCAGTCCACTGAGCCATGCCAGCCAGTGCTCACTTTTACTTTTGATATATATGCTATTAACATTGGTATGTTATAATATGCATGAAGAAGAACTTGGGCCCTGACTGGTGTGGCTCAGTGGATTGAGTGCTGGACTGTGAAACAATGGGTCTCCAGTTCAATTCCCAGTCAAGGCACATGCCTGGGTTGTGGGCCAGGTTCCCAGTAGGGGATGTGCAAGAGGGAACCACACATTGATGTTTCTCTCCCTTTCTCCCTCCCTCCCCCTCTCTCTAAAAATGAACAAATAAAATCTTTTTTAAAAACCTTGGATATTTTAGAGGTCTCATTTCTGGGTTGAGAACTGCTGGACTGGTAAGTCACAGGGTTTCATGCGTCCAGTTCCTTCCCATAGGATGCGGTTGAGCTACCCAAGCCTTGATCAGAATGAAGCAGGCCCTTTTTTCTGGTGGTAGGTATGCAAGCTATAAATTGCCTTAAGCCAGTCTTCTTCTGGGCTTCAGCTAGAAACATGGCAGAAGAGGACTTCGTGGCTCATTCTTAGGGCTCTCCTAGGGCGTGTGTGAGCCCTCCCCAGCTCCCACGCAGGTCCCTGCAGGTACTCCTGGACACTGCGTTTCTGTCCCTAGATCACTTCTGCATCCGTGAGGCTGGTCTCTCAAGAACCCAAAGCCCTTGTCAGCGAGTGGAAGGAGCCTCAGGGCAAGAACATCAGCGTGGCCTCCTGCAACAGCAGCCAGGTGGTGGTGGCCGTGGGAAGGGCCCTCTACTACCTGCAGATCCATCCTCAGGAGCTCCGGCAGATCAGGTGAGTGCTTATCTCCCCGCACCGTCTCCCTCCCTCGTTCTCTGGGACTGCTTTCATCCTTGCCTTTCTCCCGCTGCCGTGTTCCTCTTCGCTCAGCCACACGGAGATGGAGCACGAGGTGGCCTGCCTGGACATCACGCCACTGGGGGACAGCAGCGGGCTGTCCCCTCTCTGTGCCATCGGCCTCTGGACAGACATCTCGGCCCGGATCTTGAAGCTGCCCTCCTTTGAGCTGCTGCACAAAGAGATGCTGGGCGGAGGTGCGGATTTTTCGGGGACCTGGGCTGGGGTCAGAGGCGGAATGTGGACAAGAACGTAACACACCCCTTTCCCACAGAGATCATCCCTCGTTCCATCCTGATGACCACCTTTGAGAGCAGCCACTACCTCCTCTGTGCCTTGGGGGACGGGGCGCTTTTCTACTTCGGGCTCAACATTGAGACAGGTGAGAAGAGTACTTCCCGAGTGGGGGGCCCTTTGAAAAGTGGTTGGAATTGCAGAGTCCTTACCCTGCAGGGGCTGCGCTGGGACTTGCAGTGACCAGCTCTTTGTCCTGTTTACCTTCCTTCCTTCTCGGGACGCCGCTCTTCCTGTAGGCCTGTTGAGCGACCGCAAGAAGGTGACCCTGGGCACGCAGCCCACGGTACTGAGGACCTTCCGTTCTCTTTCCACCACCAACGTCTTCGCGTGCTCTGACCGGCCCACTGTCATCTACAGCAGCAACCACAAGCTGGTCTTCTCCAACGTCAACCTCAAGGAGGTGAACTACATGTGTCCCCTTAACTCGGACGGCTATCCTGACAGGTGGGCCTCTTCTTCCGTCTTCAGCAGGAGCCACGGATTGAGGGACGGATTGAGGGCGTCGTGGTGTTTCCCGCCCCGCCCCTCTCCTCCCGCCTTTCTCCACCGTGGCAGTCAGTGAACAGCTGAGGGGGGAAGGGCGGAGCAGAGGTTCCCAGACCCACCACCCGTCGCAGTACGGCGAAACTTTTTTTAAAGCACAGCTGTTTTTTGATTCCACCTCAGATTCTGCTTCGGCAGATCTGCGGTTGGGGCCTAGGGTCTGTGTTTTCAGAAAACCTCCCCGGTGATCCAAATGACTGAACTCCTGATTTAGCGACGACCGTGTGTCCCCCAGGCAGGAGCTGTCAGAGTGGGGCCCCTGCCAGCAGTCACGGCCCTGCCTGGAACTAGTTGGATGTGTGAGGTTCTGGGGGCAGCATCCAGCCGATTCTCGATAGTTGGAGAGTTGTGTTCTGGAGCTGCACATGAGCGCTGCATTTGAAAGCTGCGAAATCTTAGCTGAGGCCCACGCAGATCAGTTAGGGAAAATCTCTGGGTGGACCCAGGCATCAGAATGTTGAAGTCTCCCCGGGTGTGTTTTAGTTGGAGGGCTGAAGGTGAGAACCACTGCCTTGGCGTGAACTGGTGTATCTCGGCCCTGTTTTCCTGCCCCTCGCGGAGTTACCACCTCGCGTCTTTCCTCGGGTCTGCTCACGCTAAACCCAGACCCTCCCTTCCAGCCTGGCACTGGCCAACAACAGCACCCTCACCATCGGCACCATCGACGAGATCCAGAAGCTGCACATTCGCACCGTCCCCCTCTACGAGTCTCCCAGGTGAGGCGGGGGTCGGGAAGCGGCAGGGCGTGGTCATCTGGGAGCCGGGGGGCGGCTCCAGACTTCTTCTGAGAGGCGCCGTTGTTCTGTCCTTGTTCTGCAGGAAGATCTGCTATCAGGAAGTGTCCCAGTGTTTCGGGGTCCTCTCCAGCCGCATTGAAGTCCAGGACACGAGCGGGGGCACCACTGCCCTGAGGCCCAGTGCCAGCACCCAGGTGAGGGCAGCGGAGGAAGACAGGTGGCGTTAGAGCAGGGGCAGACTTTTCTGGAAAGGGTCGGAGAGCAGATATTTTCGGCTTTGCACGCCATATGGTCTCCGTCACTACTCACTCCCACCCTGAGGGGAGCAGCCACGAGCAACAGGTGGCACAGCTGGGGTTCCAGGGCAGTTTCCTCTTCGAGAAGCAGGCAGGAGCTGGGCGTGGCCCCCTCGCTGCAGGGTGCAGGAGATTTGGGATACTTGGGGCGCTCCGTGATGTTGCTGCTGGGTAGCGGTGCCAGAGGAGTGATTCCTCCTCTCCCGTCATCAGTTTGGGAACTTGGTAGCATGTGCGTAATTGGGGACAGCATGGCATAACGGTTAAGAGAGTGGGATTGGAGTCTGACAGAACTGGCTTCAAGGTTTATAGCTAAATGCGTGACCTTGGGCAAATCTAAATTTTAATTTTCTCATCTGCAAATGATGGCAATCAGGACAATCTGGAGTCACACATCACGGGGATATTAGCTGATGGTCTTATTCCGTGTCTTCTCCACCTTTCTCTCTGGCAGACATCTGGGAGAGGGCTTTTTCCCCGATCTGGAGTAGAAGGTCTTTGTAGTTTCTATATGAAGCGCTCCCCTGCCCTTCCCCTTGGGAGAGGTGGAGCCTGTCACTTTCTTAGGTGTCCTGAGTCCCTTGGTAGCCTTGCTTGATTGACGTGGCACCGCTGATTTAATGCTCTTTAATGGCCCTTCCATTCCTGTGGTGTTTTGGACCGCTGTGCCAATTCCACGTGGGATTCAGACCCTCGTCCTCGGTCTCCGTGTCCTCCGGAGCCTCTGCTCCCCAGGCGGCACTCGAGCTGCTGGCCGTCAGAGTTTTCCTCACTCAAACCCCGCATCTGCTCCCGGTCGTGCCTGTTCAGCCCCTGCTGCTGCTGCTGGCCCCCGTCCTGCTCTCGCGGGGGTGACGCGAGTGCCTTCTGTTCCCAGGCCCTGTCGAGCAGCGTCAGCTCCAGCAAGCTGTTCTCCAGCAGTACAGCCCCGCACGAGACCTCCTTCGGGGAAGAGGTGGAGGTGCACAACCTCCTCATCATCGACCAGCACACCTTTGAAGGTGCACGAGCTCTTTCTCTCACTCTGTACCTCCGTTCTCCCTAAACTAGGCTGTTCTGGGTTCGGATGTATTGCAGAATTTGGTGGGCCCTGTGATAGATCCTCCTCAGGGGAGGAGAAGGAGGGGTGGGGCCTCCTCAGGTCAGTAGAGGCCGGTGAGGGAGACTCTGCAGAGACAGGAGCCTCAGGAGGCGAGTGTGTGGTTACCCCCTGTGCCCTGCCTGGAGCTGAGCTGTGAGCCTCAAGCGCAAGGCTGCGTGTGCGTGGGGGTCATCGGCCATCACCCCTCTGTACTCTCCTTCTAGTGCTTCACGCCCACCAGTTTCTGCAGAACGAGTATGCCCTCAGCCTGGTCTCCTGCAAGTTGGGCAAAGACCCCAACACGTACTTCATCGTGGGCACGGCCATGGTGTACCCGGAGGAGGCGGAGCCCAAGCAGGGTCGTATCGTGGTGTTTCAGTATTCAGACGGTAAGTGGACACGGCCTCCAGCTGTTGAGAGATTGGGAATTCTGGGAGAGTAAGCGGACTGTTGTAGGTTTCAGAGCCTCAGTTAAGCGGCAGTAGAACTTGTGTTAATTGTTGTGCATGAGGCATTCTGTTCCCTCCTCTCAAGCCGTTGGTGCTCTGAATGCGCCTTGGAGTAGGTGAGCAGGGGCACGCACGGCCCAGCGTGCGTTTCTTCCTTTTCTGCTCTTTGACAGGCAGGAGAAGGGGGAGAGGTGAACGATGGGTAAGAGAGCCTAGGGACTGGAGTAAGGGTGACGAATCCGGGATTTGTTTTCCGCATGGCTCCTCAACCATTTCGGACTTCTTTCCAGCTTCAGAACTTTGTGTTCACGTCCGTGTCTTTGCTCATGTCCCTTGCCGAGCAGTCTCGGATCAGGGCCAGGATGGAATTGGTCCCCTCTTAAGAGACCGACCTGGAGTTCCGGGGTGGGCAGGTCCTGGGCCCTGTCTGCACCACTGCACGTCACCGGGAGGCTCGCACTGCTGGCAGTGGCTGACCTCAGTGTGCACTGGCTGTGCGTTTGCTTTCAGAGCAGTAGTTTTGGGTGGGAGCTAGAGCCCGAGGGGGAACCAGAGGTTTCTTTTGATTTGTGTGGGCTCATAAAGGAGACTCAAGAGTGTCTTTTCCTCCCCCAGGAAAATTGCAGACTGTGGCCGAAAAGGAAGTGAAAGGGGCCGTGTACTCCATGGTGGAATTTAACGGGAAGCTGTTGGCCAGCATCAATAGCACGGTGAGGCCCGTACCGCTTGGTATCTGTGTATGCACCTTAGGTTGCACACCGTCGTCCACAGAGCCCATCTCCCCTGTGTCCCCTGGGCAGCGCGTGTCTAATTGTGAGGGTGACAGAGTAATGGGGGGAGGGGTGGAGCTGGGAATCTGGGAGGCTCGGGCTGGACCAGCTCTCAGACTTGGCTCTGAGAGCCTCCGTGAGTGTCGGACCCTGAGGGCTCATGGGGGCTGAGACGGGTGAGAGCCGCAGAAGCACCTGCTCCCGGAGGCTACTGAGGCAGGAGCTGCTGCCCTCCTGGAGTTGGGGTGCACCACCCTCCCAGTACATGGGTGTGTTCCTCACCCTGAGAACACTTTGAACCCTGTCTTTTAGGGTTTTTAGTGGAGACTTCATCATGTAGGCATGGCATCTTATTAACTCAGTCTCCAGCCCGTTTCCTCCCTAGAGGATGAGGGAGGCTGAAAGTTACAAGCTTCTAATCCCGGCTTGGTCTTTCCGGTGGCGCCCCATTCTGAAGATACCCAGGAGTCACCACGAGTGGCCTTATTAGAACCAAAGACTCCTTTCTATCATCCAGAAAACCCAAGGGATTTGGGAGCTCTGTGTAAGAGGCTCCTGTTACCCATATCACTTAGGAAATCACAAGGGAAGTGGGGGCAGAGACCAAATATATATGTCACAGTGAGGACATCAGAGGTTTGCGTTTGGGTGTGCCGAGTTTCAGTGGTCCTAGTGAAGACGTCGGGTAGGTAGCCAGAGGAGGGGGGAGAGAAGAGAGGAAAGGAGAAGAGAGTGATGATGGGGTTTGTACAGGGAGGGCAGGGCAAGAGAGTTTCAACTTTTCAAGTTGGGAAGTGCAGGGGCACATTTCCCGTTAGAGAAGAATTGCTGGAGCCGTGGTTTGACAGGCAAGGGGTGGGGCGGGACCTGTGCATGGTGTGGCCCTAGCTAGGTGCTGCAGGCTTTGGAGTCCTCTTCTGGTCTGTGGTGAAGTGGCCGAGAGGAAAGGGGAGGAGGGGGGGATCAGAGGCCCGAGGGGAGGGGTACGGACTCGTCATCTCAGGCCCTGAGGGGTGGTGGACTAGGAAACCGACGGCTCCTGGGAAGTGTAGCGCCTGCTCTCAGGAGTGGGCTTGCCGAGCGGGAGAGCAGTCCTCCTGGTGGGTGGTTCTTCCTCGGCCGTAGTTGGAGGGTAGAATCTCACTGAAGTCCGGTTTTGTGGGGTGAGCATGGTCCAGGGAGAGAGCGGCCGGGGAGTGGAGCATCTGTGAGAGAAGTGTTGTGGCAGTGGCCTTGGAAAGGTGAAACTGAGCACAGGACATTCTGGAGTTGTTTTTAATGGCAGGCTCTAAGGGGCAACCACAGGACAAGGTAAGCGGGAAAGAGAGGCAAGGTTAGAGGTCAGGGTATTGGAAAGGTCTTTGGGTGAATACCGAGGTTACCTAGGATCACAGCGATGTGTGTGGGGGAGAGTAATGGGATGGGCGGTGTTGGGAGCGGTTAGGTGAGGCCCTGGCACCTGCATGGGAGGTGGGGGAGTCTGACAGGGCAGGCGAGGGGGTCTTGGAGGGCTGTCCTTCCCCAGTGCCGGTGGTATGAGGGACTGCGTGAGAGCAGACAGCCCGGTGCAGAGGGCCACGGGGCCCTGTGACAAGACCTGCATTTCAGCTGGAGTACCAAGGGACTGGCCAGAGAACAGGTCTCCTGGGACCAGTGACAGCATGTTCCAGAGACTCGCGCGGGCTGATGCTGGAATCGGGAGGGGTCAGGCATGAGGCTGGATCAGGGGCTACTGTCTAGTCCTTTGGTGTCTCACAGAAATGTCACAGGAGCCACAGGTGTACTTTTACACTTTCTGGTGGCCTCGTGAATAAACATAAGAAGCAGCAGGTAAAATGCACTTAATAGTGCTAAAATACTATTTAACGTGTAATCAGTATGAAAACTGTTAGTGCAGTGTCTTACTTTTTTCATACTGAGACTTCAAATACCTGGGGTGTGTTTTGTTTACACTCACAGCACACCTCGGTTCGGACTAGCCGCGTGTCAGTGTTTTGGAGCCACGTGTGGCTAGTGGCTGCCACGTAATTAGACTGTGGAGGTCTGGAACCTGTGTGGTTTTCAGTGGCGTTTGACCTCGGTCATGACCGTCGCCATGGCAGATAGGCCGACAGTGTGGAGAGGGCCGGTGGGGTGTGTTGCCAGCAGTGTGCAGAACTCGCACTCCTTCACTCTTCACGGTTGAGGGTGTGGGGGTCCAGTGAGGCCGGGCTCCCACAAAGGCAGGGTGTGCTAGACCCCCTCGGCCCTGCCCGTGGAGGTGTGGCAGCCGCTGTAATTACTGTGAATGGCTCTTGGAGGGCACCCCTGTGGAGCCCAGGTTCTTCAGACACACCTCGAGAAATCATGGCCTAACATATCCTGTCCAGGAGTTGCCGTAGGCGCAGAGGCCACAGGTGGGGCCCCCCGGACCTTGAGGGGTCTGCCCGGGCAGGCCTCTCCCGGTAGCGAGTGGGTCTTCCTCGGGCTGGGCTGTGCCAAACACCTGTCATCTGCCCGCTGCTTTTAAAGCATCTCCATCCTTCTGGAGATGCGGCTGTGGGTAACTGAAGAGACGTCGCAGTGCGGAAGAAACAGAGTTTTGTTTTGGGTGGGAGAGTGACCGCAGACTGCAGCGCGTGGGAGTCCTTTGTTACGTGGCCGTGTGGCCCGTGGACTTCCCGTTAGTCCTCTCCACTCACGGGGCGGGACTCACGGCGAAGGTTCCAGGAACGAACGAGTTTGGGAAAGGCCGGAACCGGCGGTTTTCGGGGAGGCAGCTCTGGGAACTGGAGATGGACCTTCTGTGTAGAAATACCCTGTAGCCCTGTCCCCAGACTTCAGTCACAAGAAGCCGTCCTTTGTCCTATCCGTAGCAGCCCTGCAGCCGTACGTGAGTCACCGCTGACTCAGTGTTCCAGGGCTCATCTTTCTCGCTCGCTCGCTCTGTGTAAAGGGAAACTTCGTGTCGTTAGTGCGATGTGCTCGCTCTACTTCCATGTTTCACAAATACCACATATATACTGAAACGCCGTGCAAGTCCCTCATCAGACCGCTGCCGGCCCATGCTTGCTCCGTTCAGTGACTGGCGCTGCAGCAGGAGGGGCGGGGGCAGGGGCAGGGGCAGGGGCAGGGCCGGCGCAGACGCAGATGTCCAGTGAGAGGGTCGGGGGCCCTCGGGCTGAGGCGGACGTGCCCTCCCCCCCAGGTGCGGCTCTATGAGTGGACCACGGAGAAGGAGCTTCGCACCGAGTGCAACCACTACAACAACATCATGGCGCTCTACCTGAAGACCAAGGGCGACTTCATCCTGGTGGGCGACCTCATGCGCTCCGTGCTGCTGCTCGCCTACAAGCCCATGGAGGGGAACTTCGAGGAGGTAGCATGGGGTGGGGCCGGCTTCTCGCTCATGCCGAGACCCTGCAGGTGTTTCTGCGGGGGTGAGGGGCAGCCAGGCCCACAGGGACAGAAACATTTTCCCTGGAGCGAACACTCTGCATTAAGGGTTTTTACAGACCCCTCCCCCCACCCTCCCCGTCTGGAACTCTGAGCAGCCTCCATTTCTGGGTCATTGCAGTCAGATGGGCTCTGTTCGCCAGACGCTGGGGGAGAATCTCTGCAGAGTGGCAGCTGTTGAACTCAGGGCAGGCCCTCGGCTTCTGGCCGAGAGGAGACAGGCCTGGAACTGGGTTCCGTGCACACTGCTGATTGTGTTTCTTGCTTTCACCGTGTTTGTCTGAAGATCGCTCGGGACTTCAACCCCAACTGGATGAGTGCCGTGGAGATCTTGGATGATGACAATTTCCTGGGGGCTGAGAACGCCTTCAACTTGTTTGTGTGTCAGAAGGACAGGTGAGCGGCCGGTGGCGGGGGTGGCGGGAGGGGCTGGAGCCCTGGGTCTGCAGGGGGTGAGGGCACTGGGTGCCCTCCCGGGCTCAGTGCTGCTCTTCAAGAGGTCCAGTTTCTCCTGCAGAGAACCAAGGCCACGAAAAGCAGCTTCTCTGAGCCAGCTCCTCTGCTGTGGGGTGTGCGGGTCACCTGGGAGGCTCGGGACAGTGGAGCTGACCACGTGGGGCAGGAGGTTTGGATAGTGAGTTTGTCACTGTCTTTCAGCGCTGCCACCACTGATGAGGAGCGGCAGCACCTGCAGGAGGTCGGTCTCTTCCACCTGGGCGAGTTCGTCAATGTCTTCTGCCACGGCTCTCTGGTCATGCAGAATCTGGGCGAGACTTCCACCCCTACGCAGGGCTCCGTGCTCTTCGGCACAGTCAACGGCATGATTGGTGAGGGTCCCCCCTGCGGGGTGCGCTCCCACACGGCCTCCTCCTCCAGGCCGCCGTTCCAGGGGAGCCGGGCATTGGCAGAGGAGGCTGCCTCGAGCTGGCCCCTCGTGCTGCTTTCGGGGGCTGCCCTTGGTAGAAAATGCCTGCCACGGGCTCCGGAGCCCTGTGCGGCTCACTCTCCCTTTGCTTCTGCAGGGCTGGTGACCTCACTGTCAGAGAGCTGGTACAACCTCCTGCTGGACATGCAGAATCGACTCAACAAAGTCATCAAAAGTGTGGGCAAGATTGAGCACTCCTTATATCCTTCCCAGAGGCTTCCCCTGCCGGGCAGCACGTCCTGGCACTGGTGGGGGGGCTGTGTGATGCCTGGCTGCTTCTGGAAACATCTTAACTATGTTCCTGTGGGAAACAGACTTTTCCCCTTACTTTAACTCACAGGGAAATTGAAACACGGTAGTGGAATAGTGTAATGAATCACCATGTACTTATCACCCAGCTTCAACTGGTTGACCTTGGAAATGTACATGATGTTCCTGAAATGTGTTTGCCTCTGGCCTTCCCGGCAATGCCTGTAGGTCAGTTTAGATGACAACATAGGAACATCTCTCACTGATTTTGTTGGGGGCAGTAGGGTCTGAGGATCCTCGCTAGAGAGGCCAGCAGAAGCTGGGAAAAGTAAAGAAGCTGAACACTCCAGAAGCCCAAGGATCAGCCTCCCCAGGGACCCCCAGGGTTCAGGTAGCACTGGAAGTGTGTTCATTACGGGAGATTTAAAGGGCCCTCCCCAGCAGGAGGTGGGAGGGGCTCCTGCTGTGAGTCTGGGACGCTGGTCATGCGGTGACAAGGAGGGTGGCCTGGCTGCAGCCAGGGAGGAGCCGGGCGAGGTGTTGGTGTTGTGCTGGCCGGCAGGACTTCGGGCACACCTACTGGGCCCCCTTCTTCGTCGGCGAGGCCAGGGTAGACTTAGAAGAGGGGTCCTTCCCAGGCATGCACACCTGCTTCACTCACCGGGAGCACTTGCGAACGTCCAGGGAGGTGTGTGGGTGGGTGGAAGGGTTCCAGGTGAATGACCTGGACTTGATAACTTCAACGTTATTTTGAAGATTTCCCCTGTTGAGAACTGCTGGAGCAGGTAATAATTTCAGGCGTCTCAATTCCAAAATTTGGGAAAGCAGAGAGGTGTGTGGTTGAGTCTGTTTCCTGTTCTCCCCCGACTGCTTCAGACTGGGGTCCCTGGCGGAGGCGGGGCACTGAGAGCAGGGTGCTACCATGTAACCGCACGTTCCTTAACTCCCCGTCCACCTGGAGGTCCTTTCATACTGAGCGAAAGACGGAGCCGGCCACCGGCTTCATCGACGGGGACTTGATTGAGAGTTTCCTGGACATCAGCCGGCCCAAGATGCAGGAGGTCGTGGCCAACCTTCAGGTGAGCTGTGCCGTGTTCGGCGCCGGGCTGGTCACACAGGTTTACTGCGGGGCGGGGCATGCCGGGAGACCGTCAGGACTCCAGGTGCGCCCCCCCCCCTTTACTTCCCAGAGACCAGTGGCCCTTTTATGTGTCCTGCTGTGTGGGAGGTGGCGTCTGAGGGTGAGGAGAGGGAGCTGAGGCTTGGCTCCTGGGTGCCCATCAGGCGCCTGGCACTGTATGAGCAACTTTCCCTGTGTGACCCCTGGGCTTCCCCGATCAGGGCACGTCAGGGCGTGTCTGGGCTCGCGGTAGACCCACAAGAGGGAGGCAGGCCCGGACCACAGGGCAGAGAGATGCTGGCGGTGCTGGCGTTTGGGGTGTTACTCTCTCCTGGGAGAGAGAGATGTGCTCCAGGGGGCCCTGCCTTCAGTGGGCCTCGCTGACCTGTGCCCCAGAGGAGAGGTGCAGGCTTCTGGCGAGCACTTCCTCCCTGCTGTGGGCTTCCTCTCCGGAGGGAGGGAAGGAGGGAGAGAGAGCGCGCTCTGGGCCCTCACCACCTCCCCTTCTTTCCTCACTACAGTATGACGACGGCAGCGGAATGAAGCGAGAGGCCACCGCGGACGACCTGATCAAGGTTGTGGAGGAGCTGACGCGGATCCATTAGCCAAGGGCAGGGAGTCCCTCTCCCAGATCCTCCCAGAAGGCTTTGCCCTCCTGCCTCCCCCCCACCCCCACTGTCTTCTCGGCCGCGGGAGACCTTTCCCTAAGCCAGCTGCCCCAGAAGCCACAGTCGCCTGTGTGGAAATGGGGATTTCTTAGAACTAAAACCAGCTCACTGGACACCTGGGAACGGGCTGAAGGGGAAATCATTTTCTCCCTAGATTTTTACCAGTCTCGCATGATTCCGGCCACCACCTGGGGCCACCGAGCCTTGCTTGGTGCCGCAGCTTCTCCTTCCAGGGAGGGATTTTGCAGTTCTTTGGCCGAAAGGAAGCTCTGTGTGTTTCACTCATGCATTGTCCTCTGCTATCTTTTTATTTAGGTTGGGGGAGCGGGGAGGTTGTGGGGAGAGGATGAGGGGCGGGGAGGGTTCTCTGTCTTTGAGTGAGAACTCCCTTTTACTTTCTTCTGTCGCCTCCGAGAGCTTTGGGTCTGGAGACCTGACCACCAGGCGTGGGCTGCCAGCGTGCAAAACCTGGGGGGGGGGGGACGACCCCCAGGCCGCAGCCTTTTTGTCTCTGGGGAGCTGCCTTCTTCAGGGAGAAGGAGGTGGGTGGACGTGGATTGGTGGTTAGTTTCTGAGTTTTACCAAATAAAAGTAGAATTGAAAGAAGAAAGATCCGTTTGTTTCTGCTTTTCTTCCGGCCGCCCAGCACCCCAGCGTCCGGGTCCCATTGTGCCCAGTTTCCTCCAGAGTCGCTGCCCCTGCTGACGGCAGCTGCTGCGGTCACTGGCCATTGCTTGTCGGGACACGTCCTCTCAAGCTCACTAGTGAGATGGTGTCTGCACCTCTCCTTCGCCACGCGGGATCCTGAGGGTGATGGGTGTCCAGCGTTTGAAACTCCGTGGTCTTTGATTGCCTTGGGTCATCGTTGGATGTTCCCAGTTGCCTCCGTTTGTAGCCTGCTGGGCCTGGGGGTTGCTTGGGCTGCCTGTCCCGGTGTCAGTCTATAGCCAGATGCAGCCTCCCACTGCCCAGCCCCTGGGGACTGCTCCTTGGCCCCAGGCAGGTAACTTCTCGTGCGCCCCGCCAGCTTCCTGTCGCCACGTACTCCCTGAATTCTAGTTTTCTGTCCTCTGGTTTTAATCAAGTAAACCTTCAGTACCTTTAGTTTGAAAACACAAGAGTAGGGCACATTTGGGGTTCCCCTTTCTGTCCGGCGAACAGAGCCCGTCTTCTTTCTGCTCAGCGGGCCGGTGTCTGGGCCCACGTTCCCACCGGTGGCCCAGTGGGGATAAAGGCTGCTCTGTCCCGGCAGCGGAGTGGGGCTGGTCCCGGGCATCCTGGCCGGCTCCTTGAGGGCCAGCCTTTGATACAGTGTCAGGAAAGTTGTGGTTTCATGTTCAAACTGTGGTTTTGAGAGGTTCTAGCTTAAAAGGAAAAGGGCAAGGAAGCGTCTCTGCTTTGGAGGTCTTCCGGAGTGAGGCTCCCTCCCTGGAGGAGGCGTCCGGTCCCATGCTTTTCCCTGCCGTGCTCCTCCCCTTGCCCTCCTGGGCTCTCTGAGGGTGCGGACTCGGGGTCTTCAGGGAAAAAAATAACCAACATCTCTCAAAAACCACAGTTTGAACTCGAAACTCAACACTGATTTGAATTCTTCAAGTCATGGTTTGAAATTGAAAGGGCCTGCCCCCACGCCAGAGACCGCTCTGATGAGGCAGGCAAGCAGTGGCCTCCAGATTGTGATGATTTTAAAAATTGATCTTAGACGGGAGGGCGGAGGATAAGGTGCCGAGATCAGGAAGACAGAAGGTAGTGTGAAGTGTTGCGGGGGCCCCCCAGCCGTCTGACCTGCAGCCAAGGGGACCTGCTGCGTCCAGTAGATGGGCGTCCCTTACCAGGGGCTTCAGGCGTGACTTGGGAAGCTGCAGGGTCCTCACGGTTTTTGTCCCCTGCACTCTTGGGAACATTCAGGATTGCATCCGGCAATCTCTTGGAGACTCCGACATTGTGCTGCCACACGTTCACGTCCCCCTCCCCACTTTAAAAACAGCCCGTCCCCACTCCAGGGGTGAAAGGTTGCCTGTGGAGCTCGGCCGCAGCCGGCTGGAGTGGCCCCTGCGTGAGCAGACGCTGCTGAAGCGCCAGCCTCGCCCCAGGCCTTTGCAAGCGTGGACCCTGGGGAGGACAGAAACACTGACTCATCCCATGGCCGGCTGGAAGGGTCACAGGCCAGAGGCCTTCTCTCTGCAGCCAGCGATGTGGATCCTCCCCCCTCCGAGGAGGGTCGCTTTTGTTACTCGGAAGCCACAAGCCACAGGAGTGGGGAGGCAACCCTGAAGAAGCGGAACTAAGGGACGTGCCCTAACTAGTCCTTGAAGATGACCCGTATTAAGTTAGAGACTCCTGGGCACCAAACTTGGAGCCTCGGGCCAAACAAACAGAAAGACAGGAGGAAAAAGAGGGAAGCAAACTAAAGAAACACACTTGATAAGAGGAGCAAGCCTGCGGGAAGGTCAAGGAAACTGGGGAGCTGAGAAACGCCAGGGCTGTTGAGAGGGTTGTTTTGAAATGCGCCAGGAGGAATTTGCGACATCTCAGATACCCTGAGCTCCTGAGGGTGGATGAGGGTTTTCTTGGAGCAGGAGACCACTACAGGGCAGACCTTGCCCGGTCAAGGGCTGCGGTGCAGGGGCCAGGCTACATGCATGAAGCAGTGGGGTGCAGGCGTGCTGGAGCGTGGGAGGAGCTGGAACGAGGGGTGGCAGGCGTGTAGAAGGGAACGTGGGTCCTGTGGAAACGTGAGGATTCGTGGGTGGCTTCTGGGGCCTGGGTGGAGTGCCCGTCTGACACGGAGGGGTGGCCTAGGCAGGAATAAGGGCAGTGTTGCAATAGGTTTTGGGGGCCCGACCGAGAGAAGGGCTTTATCCAGGATGGTCATTATCGCATGATTCAGAGCTAGATTTGTGGCTACCTGGCCCCTGAAGGCGGACATGGAAGCTCTCTGTAAGTCATGGGGAAGAAGGCAGTGTGGGCGCTGGAGGGAGAAGCTACGCCTCCTGGCGTCTGAGGCTCGGAGGCAAGGCGCCCTGGGGTTCCGCAGGCCCGCCGGACTCAGAAGGGACGTACCTATGGATGCCGCATTCAATTCAGGATATACAGGATATTTTTGCAACCTGCTTGGTGAGAAGTTACTGCTTAGCTTAGAGGGTGGATCAAAACTAAGAAGGTGAGATCACCTGCCCGAATTTGAACATCTGCAAACATTCAACCACACGGGTCCAGGGAGGGCGGCCGGCTCGGCGGCGGCTGGTGTATAATAAACAGCAACATGAAGACGTGGCCACGCCAGGTTCTCCTTCATGGTAAACTGTGTTGTGAACCAGCAGCAGCAGGGGTTGTCCCCAAAGCCAAGCAGTAGCAGGACGTGTGAATAAACGTGGTATCTGAAAGGAAGAGTGCAAGAATCCAGGCCACTGTGGGCACACCGTGTTCCTTTGTGGCCATGGATATCGAGGACCTCAGTGACAGGCGGAGGGAGCCGGTGGGCGGGCACCTGCAGAGGCAGGAACAGGGGATGGGTCATTTAGGTGGGAAGTAAAAGCGCTTCCTAGCAAAGGCAGTTACTCAAAACTGGGTTGGTCTCCCTTTTGACAGGTAGTGAGGTCCTTGTCCCTGGAGGTGTTTAAGCAAACCTTGACTAATTGGGTCCGGGTGGCTAGGGAAGTTTCCCCACACACAGCAGAAGGCAGAATTTCAGCTTTCTGGTCATCTTTTGGGCTTTCTCCCAGCTGGATGATCCTACCCAGCCACACCACCTGCTCACCACGTCCCTGCCTGCCTACCACTCTCTGACTGGCCTGGGGCAGCTGCAGAAAGGGGGCAAAGAGGAGCCTGTGGGGTCAACACCTGCTAGCTCCCCCTGACCAGAGAGCAGATGGACCCTCTGACTCACTCACCCAGGGTTAGGGCTAGACTGCCCAGCAGTGAAAGGACCCAGAGTCCTGGGCACGGATTTCCACGCGTCCCACCTTCTGACGACACAGGCGTCTTGGGCTCCACCGAGACCAGCAATGCCTGGGACGATCAGCCTCCAGCGCCAGCCTTGTTCCCGAAGTCTCTTCCCTTCCCGGGCCTCAGTCTGACGCCCACAGCCCTTCTCAGGAAGCCGACTCCCATACCCGGGCAGGGGGTGGGGGCCAAGGGCTAAACCCCGCCCTCAGGGGTCCCTGATCTTTGACCCCTCCCGGGGTTCGCGCCTTCTACTCTGAAGGCCACTGGCAGGCGGGAGTCACTGCCTTTTGTGTGTTTCCCTCCGAGGTGCCAGAGACCCCCCAGCCTTGCGCAGCGTCCCCTCGCGGGCCCCCAGCCCCTCCTCTCAGCGTCCCCAGCCCCCCTGCTCGGCTTTGCGTGCCAGCTCGGGGCTCGCTGGTTCGCTCCCCGCGGCGCCAGGAGGAGGGGCGAGGGCCGGTAGCCCCCTCCCCCGTGCGCGGCGCCGGAGCCCAGCCGAGCTGGGGGGACGCACCGCTGCCGGTCATGTGGGCCGGACTCGGACTGTTCCTCCGGGCCGCCTGTGTCGCGCTCCTGCTGCCGGGGTCCCCAGCCCGCGGCTACACTGGGAGGAAGCCGCCTGGGCACTTCGCAACGGAGAGGTAAGCACCCAAGACCCTCCCCCTGCCCTGCCGCGAGGGAGCTGTCGGTGTGGAGCGGGGAGGCGCGGAGGGGCGCTTGGTGCCTCTGGCAGCTGCAAATAGGGGCTCCCCTCTGGGGCTCTGTCCGCGCGGGCGCATCCCTGGGGGGACGGACAAAGAGACTGCAGCATGTGCCTCCGGACGCGTGCATCTTCTGTGCCCCTGTCCGGGGCTGTCCTGGCTGGGACATTGAGGGAAGGACAGAGACCTAGGCGCTGGATGAGCCCATCTGAGTCTGTCCTGCAGCGCAGACCTGGGGCGAGGGGAGCCCGGGATGTGCCACCTGGTCTCCAGATTGGCTGGTTTCACTTGAGAACGTGCTGGTGCCTCTGCCTTGGCAGGGGCTGGCTCCCCGCGGCACCGGCCGCTCCCGGGAGGGGGCTTTCCCTGTGTCCAGGCTCTGCGCACGCTGTGGACCTTGGAACCGCCGGGGTCTCGCCAGGTCATGTTTCGGTTTCCGCCTGTGTGCGCGGGCGAGAGAGGGCGGGGGTGGGGTGTTTGTCCCTTTGCTCTTTCCCGACGGATGCCGCCTTCCCCTCGGGTCCCCTCCTGGCGGAAGCCGGGCTGCCGCGGGCCGAGCACGTGTGTGCGCGATGCTCCGAGCGAGGGAACGCGGAGTCAGCAGGCGCCCTGGCTCTCCGCCACTGCCCAGGGAGAGGGGGGGGTGCACAGGGGGTGGTCCCGCCGCTCGCACGTGCGTTCCACCGCTGCCGCCAGTTCTTACTCAGTTCCAGCAGGCTCTGCGCGTTTCAGAGCATTCCTGCCACCTGTCTCCCCACCATGGCCGGGCCTAGGAGGCTCCTCCTGCGCATTCTAACATCTGCCGCTGTGGTGGCATCCCTGTCCCTTTCAGAGGCGGGTCTGAGGAGCGGGAGCTGCCTGCTCCTCCTTCCTAGGCTGCTGACAAAATCACTCCAGCAAGGGCAGCGGATGGGACACCGCTGTCAGTCCCCACCCCCAGGGCCCCCTCTTTTTCTGCGTTGACTTC